CCCTGCTCCAAGGGAAGCGGTGCCAGCGCCGAGCCCCTCGCACAGAACCCAGCCCTTGGCACCAACTCCCCCTCACTGCCATGGCTCTGTGTCCTCCTCCCTTGTCCTTGCTCCACCTGTCTTGGGATTTGCTCTCCTTGTTGTGTTCTGCAGGCAGAGGAGGGAGCCAGGAAAAGGCTCCTGTTGTTTGCTGGTCGTACCGTGGGGTTTATTCACATTCCATATCCTGCTTTTGTGGTTCTGCTCCTGCTTTTCCCTTGAGTGTCTCTGAGCTCTTTGTTTGGCCTTCCTTTGCTGGTTTGCAGCACAAGCCATGGGTGCTCCACACTTGGCAGACTGGGCACCCCTGCAGAGGTTTTTGGCATGTTCTGTATTTGGGGTAAATATTCCAAGCCCAGGAGGGGTAGTTCTAATTTTGAAATCTAGATTTTCAGCTGAGCTCCGCATCTTAAGAGCTTGGGGACTGGAATTTCTGACTGTGGTTGTCTTGGTCATTAAATATTAAGTGAGGCTGTTCCTGCTGGAGGGTTCATCCAGCCACTGAAGGCTCTGAGCTGGCAGGGGAAGGAGCTGGGGCCCCCAGAGAGTTCAGGGATGGATACTGGGCCATGCTAAGGATAATACTGACACTGCTCAGAGGGATGGGGATGATGCTTCTGTGATTCACTCACTTGGCTGTGGTTGCCTTTAAAAAGGCAGCATGAGCTGTGAGAGCAGAACTGGGGGGTTGGACTTCACACCCCTCTGCATTAACACTGCAGGATCCTGTCAGCAGCCATCAGCTGCATCTTGCCTTGGAAAACCTGCTGCTGGCTCCAGGTTCCAAGGCCTCAGCTGCATTCCAGCTGGGAGCAGGGACACGAATGTGTTGGGGCACAGCGAGAGCTGCTGCTTCAAGGGCAGATCAGGGCTGGAGCCATGGGCAGGAAATCTGTGAGCTCCCAGCCTCCTCCTTTCCCTAAGTTCCCAAATACTGTAATTCTCCCTCCCTCATACAGAGAAGTGCCCCAGGATGGAGGGTCACACCAAAGGAGCTCATGGAAATAGGACAAATGCAGCTAGAAAAGCCCTGGCCCTGCTGCCTCTCCAGGGACCTGCTGGGCACTTGCCAGCACCACTCGGGAATACACTTAGGAAGCTCTTCCAGCAGCCACCGCCCAGACGAGATACCAGCATTTCCCCTTCTTCCTGCCTTCCCTGCTCCCTGGAGTGTCTGCAGGGAGGGGATGCTGCACTTCACTTGCCGGAGACAGGAACAAAAGCCCCACAGGCCAGCAGAGCTTATCCCAGAGCAGGCACCGCTCCTCCTGGATCCTTCCCGGCTCCGGGGCTGCCGGGGCTCAGTCCTGCCCAGCAGCTGCTCCTGGGGCCTGACACCCCCCCGGACACTGCCCGGAGCCCAGGGACAGCAGGCAGCAGTCCTGGGAAGCAGGAGCAGAGCGCTGCGCCCAGCCAGGCCGGGAAGGGCAAACCTAATCCTGCTGCATCCATTTAGGGAATGCAGGATTTGTAAATTATCTCCTTGAGAAACAACCGGGCAGAAATATGCAGTTCTGGGGACTCCAGGCTGCAGCTGCAGATGGCTTCCAATTGGGACATTCCCACTGAACATGCAGAATCAGGAAAAAAGGGGTTTATTTTAATTTTCAGTTGATTTAGAGCCTTTAATCTTTGTCAGGGTAGGCAGTGATGCCTCTGGCTTAGTGCCACAATTCCTGTGCCAGGCGCTGCCCAGAGCCCCCCCAGCAGTCACAGGGGTGGGAAAAAGTTGCTGAGCAAGAAAATGTTGGGATTCATCCAAACAGGGAAAGCTTGTGAATGAGCAACGTATGAATGCTGCACATTAAATGTGCCCCAGCGCATCTTTGCCCGTGCTGGAGAGGAGGCACTGGGGTGTAATTGGTTCTTGGCTGCAGCAGTAATCCCCTGGGAATAACACAGCTAATTAAAGCCCAGGAACTGGTGACCAGCAGCTTCTCCTCTCTCCCAGGCTGGGGCTGTGCTAATCAGGGGCAGGTAGATCCCAGGAAGTTTTGTGCTAATCAAGGAGGGAAGGACTGGGCTTCAAAGCTCAGTGCTTTGTCAAATCCTGAATGTCCCAGGGGGTGAGCTGGGGGAGATTTTGGATCCTGCTGGGCAGGAGGGATTGGCTGTGCTGGGCCCATCCCACTGATCCTGCCCTGGAGTGTGGTTGCCTCCCCTGGGGCTGGGGTTTTGGGAGACAGAGCTGAAGATGTGAACTGGGGAGCTGCTTTTTCTATCTTTTAGGAGATGTTAAATGCTCCAAATCTTTGGTGGGATGGAGGGAACTGCAGGTGTTCAGCTCCTCTGAGGGCCAGGCCTTGGGACTCACGAGCAGGATCTGGAATGAGGCCAGGCTGGATGGGGCTTGGAGCAAACTGGTGTGTGGAAGGTGTCCCTGGTGTGTGGAAGGTGTCCCTGGTCTGTGGAAGGTGTCGCTGGTCTGTGAAAGGTGTCGCTGGTCTGTGGAAGGTGTTGCTGGTCTGTGGAAGGTGTCCCTGGTGTGTGGAAGGTGTCCCTGGTCTCTGGAAGGTGTCCCTGGTCTCTGAAAGGTGTCTCTGCCCATGGCAGGGAGTGGGACTGGATGAGCTTCAATGTCCCTTCCAGTCCAAACCATCCTGGCAATCCATGATTCTAAACCTCAGTCCAGCTGCAGCCAAAAGGATTAAAAAGTCTCTGAGGGGACAAACAGAGGAGAATGAGAACCTCTGCATAAAGCAGAGTCAAATCCCACTGTCAGTTCTGGGGTCAAAAAATGGAAGGTCTGAGCCACAAGTGTTATGGAAATCCTGGAGAATGTTCTTTGTAGGGGAGACCTAACCCAGCTCATGGACAGGACCAACATTGCCTTTATTTCTGTGCAAACACCTCAGGGGGAAGGCCAGCTACTGAAAGGTTTTGTGTTTGGCAGGCAAAGGAAGGAGGAACAAAGGCAGGAGCTGAGGATGGACAACTGCAGCTGGAAAGGAGGCACATGCTGGTTACCAGGAGGGTGAGTAACTGTTGGAACACTTGAGCAAGGAACTGTTTGGGTTAGGAGCACTTATATTTAAAAGATGTTGTTTCATAAAATAGTTTTTTCCTATTAGAGGTTGTAAATCCAGCAAGTGTGACTCAAAATTCCCTGGCACTCCCTGAGTTGTGGCCAGTAACACCAGGAGGAGGCACCAGTTATTTTACTGGTGGCAGCTGTGAGAACTAGTTTAGACATAAAAAACAATTAAAAATCAAAAGCAAGACACATGCACTTGTTCAGGATTTGGACAATGCAAAAGGACTTTCAGGCAATTAATTGGAATTTTGCCCAGAGGAGAACTTGCTGTGGTGGCAGATAACACCTGCCAGAGGTTTCTGGTCCAGCTGGAGAGTGCCCTGAGGAGGGAGGGATGACCTGGAGGTTTGAGTTCTCAGTACCAGCATGCCCAGCTCCCAGTGACTTTCACACAATCCAATTAAATTACAAACACTAATCAGCTGCAGTCCTGCTTCCTTTGCCCTTCCCTTCATTGGAAAACTCCAGGTGCACATCAGGCATCCTGCAGGGGGGTTGCACAATGATTTGATGATGTGTTTGCACAGCAGGTAGGAAATTCAAAAGCTTTGTTGTGCTTCTATTTCCCAGAAATTCCCCAGTCTCCAGCTGAGAAGGAATATTTGCAGCTCCCCAGGCCTTCAAAGGGGTGAAGCAGGAACAGAGGGGAAGGAAGAGAAATCATGTCCTTAAAGCAGCAGGTTGGAAAAGGCCACTGGTGTAACTGGGCACGGGTGAGTGACACTGCACACAGTGTGGGCAGGGACAGAAACCCACTGGTGAGAGCAAGGAAATGTTAAAGAATTTTAAAAAAATTAAAATTTTAAGCATCCAGGGTGGTTCCAAAGTGGTTCCAGTTTTGTCCATGCCAGGGGTGTGCTGGGTTGTTGCAGGTGAGTGGAACCAGGGCCAGCTGGTGCCCAGGGCTGGTGCTGGCCCCTGCACCCAGCCCAGCCCTGCCCAGGGCTCCCTGCAGCACCTGGACACCCTTGCTCTGCACTGCTCCAGGTTTTAGGGAAGATTACTAACATTTCTACTAATCCCAAGCCACTGAGCCTTCCCTGCAGAGCTCAGCTCAGGCAGCAGAGGTTTCACAGCTCATCTGACTCCAAGCCCAGCTCTAAACTAAAACTAAATTAAAATGCAGCAGGACAGAGTTTAACAATCAAAAAAAAAAAAAAAAACCCAAAAAAATCAACTCTGCACAGCTGCAGAGACAAAAATGACATTAAAGCACCAAACCTGCTGTGCCTGGAAAGGCTTTTCCTTTTAGTGACTGGCTGGAGCTGCTGAATTTCAGACACACAGAGACTTCCTGAAATGAATTGGAGATGACACTCAATAGCCAAGGCAGCCATTGCTAATTATTTAATTAAATCACCTACTGAAATCTGCATGGAAATAACTGCAGAATCTGCCTCCAGTGTAAGCACTTCAGCACTGATAAATTCCAGGAAAGCAGCAATTACAAACGGCACCTTCTCCAAAACCTGAATGAACCACCACAACAGAACATACAAATATATATATCCATATATTTATATAATGGCCTGGTTTGGGCTGGAAAGGACCTCAGAGGTCATCTCATTCTAGAAACACTTCCAAGTACTCAAGGTCCAGTTACTGTGGAGACCCTCTGCAATCAGCTCCTGTGCACCCCTGCAACATGAATGGATCTCAGACAAGCACATTTCATTTGGAGGCACCTTTACAAGATGTGCAGATGGAGAGGGAGGCACAAAATGTCATTGCTGCCTTCAGAAAAATTAATACCCAGTAAACAAACTGCTGGAAGGGTGCCATGAAGTTAAATGCCAACACTGCTGCAAGCAGGGCCAAAAAAACCCACTGCTTCCTAAGAATTCCTGCCAGGTGTTACCTGTGGGACCTTCAAAAGCAAACCCCCCCTTGGGGAGGGCTCAGCCCAGGCAAGAACCTCACAAGCCCAAAAGCAGAAGTACCAAGCCTTTATTAGAAGTTCCAGGGCAGAGCTGTGTCCAGGGGCGCCAGTCCCACCCAGCTGAGGGTGGGGCAGTGCTGCTGCTGGATCTCCCCATCCCCAGGACACCACCAGCCTTTCTTCCAGCCTTTGGATTCCCCTGAGCTGCTGCTGCCAGCTCTGAGTGGGCCAAACCAAGGAACTGCCTCTTGGAAAAGCCAAACACCGCAAGGGAAGGGGAAAAAATAAATTAAAAAAAAGAATAAACCACACACTGGACACAGTTATCACTATGAGAAGGTGAATGAGTTGCTTTACATCCACATGGCAAATAATTTCACAAGCTGGGAAATGAGGTTGCTGAGTCTCCTCTTGCCCTGGGGGTGGAGGGTGTTGGTTTGCTGGATCCTGGCATGGGATGTGCAGAGCCACACTGAATCCATGTTATCTGTTGTTGTTGGGGTTTTGAACAAAGTTGATGGAGTAGGAGCCAGTGGACGAATCCTGTTTGACCTGGAAGTTCTCTGTTGACAGGCCAAAGGGGCGCAGCACCAAATTGCCCAAATCCTTCAGTTTACCTGCAGTGACATTCCAAGAGAACACAGTGAGAGCTGAGCAGAGCAAAACTCCCATGGAATTACACCCAACTACAGCCCAGCCCCGCTGATTTATCCAGCACAGGTAAATGCTGAGAAATCTCTGCATTTTGTTAATATTTAGGCTCTTAGCAGGAACTAAAAATCATTGTTAGATATCCACAGAGTATGAGAGTTAATAAAAGCCTGTCAGTATATGGATCACATGTGATTCCTGCCTCTGGAAAATAGATCTTCCTACAGCTGTAAGAGGGGAAGGACAACAAAAGGACATAATTTAAAAAGATCCTATATAGAAATTACAGAATAGATAAAGTGAAACAGGAACTTCACTGCTAGCTGAACACAAACCCCTGGCATGACAACACAAGGGAAGATGGCCAGTTTTCAAATAAAAACATTCTTTTCCTCCTGGTTTCAATGCAGAACTGTAGATTTCCCAAAGGAAAAGCAGAAGTTTGGACACGTTGAATCCTTCTCAAGGTTTGCCTCCCCAGGCAAAAGCTCCCACCTGCACTGATCCTCAGGGAATGGGGTTTTTTTTTTTTTGCTGGGAGCTGAGTGTGACAACAGCAATTGCTGCCATGGAAAATCCACTGAGCAGCTGCAGCAGCCAAGGGCCTGGAACAACACCTGGGAATGCCACAGCTATTGCTGCCTGGAGGGCTTGGAGTCCTGAGAACCCCCTGGCACTGTGCTCACCTCACCTGGGCTTCTGGGGCAAGGACACACCGAAACAGTGAAATTCTGGAATGGTTTGGGTTGGAAGGGACTTTACAAATCATCTATTCCACCCCTCCCATGGCAGGGACATCTTCCACTGTCCCAGGTGCTCCAAGCCCCAGTGTCCAACCTGGTCTGGGGCACTGCCAGGGATCCAGGGGCAGCCACAGCTTCTCTAGGCACCCTGTGCCAGGGCCTCACATCCTCCCAGGGAAGGATTTCTTCCCAGTATCTGGAAAAAGATAACCCCTGAGCCCACCAAGCAAATGGGTGGGGAGACACAAGTTTCCTTCAACTTGAGTTCTTTAATGGGAATTCACAGATGAGGTGGCTCAGGGATGTGGCCAAAGTCAGTCCAGCAGCATCTCAGGTAGGATTAACCTCTTTGTATATATCTGAGTGTTTTTTAAAGGAACACCTGATGAAGATAAATTAACTATGATGTTCATCCCTTTATGCAGCACCCTAAAAATGTTTTGGCTATAAAACCATTTTGGTAGCATCTGTATGACTGACATGAAGAGGTTTTTTTGTACTTCTGGACAAACATTTGGCCAGGGCTGAGCTTCAGGTCTGGGATGAGCAGTGTCTCAGTGGAGAATCCTGCAGAATCTGGAATGGCTGGAGCCCCCCCAGCCCTGCAGCTGGGCAGTAGAGCAGAGCTTGCCTGGCAGGACACTGGAAAGGTTTTTTCCAAGTGCAGGGAGCTGGATGCTCTTTTCCAAACCCATAAACACCCCCTGACTGCCTCAGGATCCACCCTGCAGCTGGAGCAGCTCCCCAGCACAGCATGGATTTGAGGCTCTGTGATAATTCCAGCAGCACATCCCAGCTCACCTTCCTGTGCTGTCCCTCCCCAGGCAGGCTCTGGGGCAGCCACACTGAATTAATTGTTAATGAGGCAGAAGAAAGCCTTGGCTTTTCCGGGCACTCCAGCCCAGAGCTGCTGCTGCTGTCCTGGCACACACAGAGCCAGCATTGTAGGGGAGCTCTGCCTCCTCCTCCCACAGCTCCTTTCAGCCCTAAATTAAGGGCTGGAGTGAACTGCAACCCCCTCCTAAAGAAAAGCTCCCTCAGAGGCTGTGCTGGGAGGAAGGAAAAGGCACCACGTGGAGCTGGGACTCAGCTGCAGAGGCTGCCCAGCCTCCAACACCACCTCTCCCCAAGCCTCTCCTCCCTCTGCCCTTATTCTCACACATTTTGCTCTTTTTCTTTGAAACACACCCTGTTTATTTTCCACCTGCAACTCCAGCACATCCAGGTTTTTCATCAAAGCAAATATTCAGAGGTTAACAAGAAAACAGAACTGTAAAAATCAATTTAGGGCTCAGAAGTCTGTGATTCATTACTCACCTGAACTGCAATTCAACACCCTATTGAAAGAGGCAGATGCAGGAAAAGATTACTCACAATTTACATTAAGATGTAACAGCCAAAATTAATTGCTATTCAGTCTTTCTGGCAATAATTCTGGCTTAGTTGCTGGTGTTAATGTGGGGTTTGGAAGTTGAAAAGCTCCATCTTGCTTGTGTAAAGAATTCTTTTGGAGGAAAGACAAATTTCCTGATGAGGTCTCTTCTCTGTGTAACTTCTTGTATTACCAACATTTTTAAGCAATTAAAAGAGCAAGGATAAATCCTTCTCCCTTCCCTAAATGGTAAATGAGGACTGAACTGTAACTGTAATTTGGCTTTGATTTAACTACTTAAAATCACCTTGTGTAGGGTTGGGGTTTAGCAGCTCAGCTGCAAACACAACATAACTGTCAATAGAAAAAAAACCCAAACAAACCCCATAATTCTTTAGGCACAAAGTCTAATAAATGTCTTTGCTGATCTCAGGTAGCTGGAAAAATCTCTTTTGGGCAGGAAGGCCCAAGTGAGGAGCTCTGGCCCCCAGACTGCTAAAAGCATTCCAAAGCTCCCCTCTCCTCACACTCTCTCCCCAAAGGAGTGGTCCCAGATATCACAATAATTATAAAAGTCTCTAAACAAGACTGAAAATAGTTGGCTTTAAGGAGTGAAACACAAAACTTCCCAGAAAATGGGGCAGAGGATGCTCATGAGGTACAGAAGGAAAAGCCAGTTGGATTTGAAAGCTCCTGCTCCAAGTCCAACTCTCTTTGATGTGAACTCAGGGGTACCTTCATCCTGAGCAAACTTCAGTGGCAGAGGAGCTGATCAAAACATGGCAAGTACTGAAAGACAAATGTCACCTTGCAAAAGGGACACACAGCACCAGTGGGCTTGGCCTGGCCACAAACCAGGACTTTTCTGGTGACATCACCCTCAGCAATCACATGGGCCTGAAGGAAAATCCAGCCAGGAATATGTGCTCTGGCTTATTTACACACAAGCACTGCACAGGGGGTTCAGCCTCTGACAGAAATGAGCTGCAGCCCTGGGAAACAGGAAACACACTTGGGAAGGAGGAGGATGCTCTCCATTTATCTGGCTCTGTTTGTACAGCTTCATGACAGTGGGAGATGGTTGGGCAACCCAGGCCTTGTTTGAGTTTAAAGAATAAAAGCTCAGCAAAACCAGGACAGGCCAATTCACTGACTGAGGATCAGCTCAACATCCAAAGGAGACAAAGCACAAACTGGGACACTGTTCCTAATTTCAGTTTAGAGTCAGTGCTCCTGGAGCAGGCCTGGCCTGGAACTTTCAGGATGCCTCAGACTTGCTGTGCTGGAACACAACCCAGGCACCTGAGCTGCCCCCTGGGAAGGCAGGAATGTCCCCCTGGCACTGCCCAAGCCCATCACCCAGCTCCAGCCACAGTGCCACGAGCCAGGTCCATCCTGGCAGTGGGAAATGCCATCAGAAAGAGTGGAAAAGTGGGAAGAGCTTCAAATTCACTGGACAACAAGACAATCCAAAGGAATTTCGGAACCACCATATTCCATCGAGTTTCTCTCCTACCACTCCTTGCTGAACTCCCATCCAAGCCCCTCTCCAGGGCCTTCCTGACCTCAGACAGAGCTGCAGCACTTTGCAAACCTTGGGAAGTGATTCCTTCCTCCATGGCATCACCACTGCCTCCCTGAACAGCACACAGGGAACCTTGGAACACTCAGGAGAAGGGGCTGCCCACATTCCTGACTTCATTTCAGGAGAATGTTTTATAGAAACCCCTCAGTTTGTGTGACAGCCACAGCCACCACTGCCACCATCACTGTCACTTAACCAGAGTTGTGACAACCCTGCCACACACAAGGCTGGGGATGAACACAGCTTCTGGGTTGTCCTACCCTGCTCTCAGTCTGGCTCTCCAGCTGTTTGAACTCCTTGTGTGACATCACTGAGATGGGATTTCTCTCTCCAGAATCTCAACAGAAACCATCTGAAGTGGTTCTCAAAAGCTCAGTCCAGTTTTGAAATCCCAACTGCCACTTATAAAGTATTAACACAAAAGAGATCCCACCTATTCTGACATCCAGGAAAAAAACCAGCAATGCAGGGGCTGGATTTACTGTTCCAGCCAAATCCCTTGTGATTAGTGAGGCCCTTTAGAGTTCAGCAAAGATCAGGAATTATTTTCATATTACTTTGTGCTGAAACCCATGCCATGTCCTACCATGGGCCTGATCCTTCCGGAGATTTTCTGCATTTGTCATTTATTTATAGCCCCATCACCCTTAACCTGCTTTATTTGGGGCTTGTTCTCAGCACAATGGGGGAGGCAGACTGTGATCCTGTAAAGCTCTGCAAAGCCTCACTGACACTGCTAGGTCAGAGCAGAACAAAGCCAGAGCAAATCAGAGGCTGCAGGAAAGAAATTACAGAAAAACATCAGCATAAGCTGAAAGAGTCTCTTCTTCCAAATATATCAGGAATCAGTGTCAAAGACAGGCTGAGTTTGTTTAACCTGATTTTCTGCAGATCAGCCAAACACTGCCTTCCCTTCCCACCAAACACTGCCTTAGGAATTGTAATTCCACTGCTGGTGCTAACCCTGGCTAAGTCCAACTCAGCCTCCAACCAAACAGCAATGAAATGCTGAATAAATCAAGGCAATGAAATGCTGAATAAATCAAGGCAAACACGAACACTTGGAGGTCTCTGGGCTGCAAGTGCTACAAAAAGAATCACATTTATTTCCTCAGCCCCCAGATCAAACATGCCCAGTTATTCCAGCTGGGGGAGTTCCTTTAGGCACAGGTTTAGTGAAAGCCCTGGTTTATCCCTTTCATGGGAATGTTTGCTTTGAGGGTTTATTTGCAAGGAGAAAGGGCTGAGCAGTTGGGCTGTGTCAAACCATCTTCCCCAGCTCTTACATATACCATTAGGAAATTGTTTTAGAAGGTTTTAAGTTTTCTTTCTTTAAATTGAACTTTTCTGCATGGGAGAATTCCTTGTCTCCAATTTACTGAAGGTAAAACCAAGCAATTGAGAGCTACAAAGAAATCAGGAGTTTTGTTTAACACTGAACAAATATTTCCTTTCAGATTTACCTCCTTTACATTTTATACAAGAGATTCTATTAATGCATTTTTTTCTAGTAGATCATGAGGGTTTTTATGGAAGTACATACTACTCACCCAACATTTCTTTCTTTAATTTTTCATTCCTCTCCTCAATTTGATGTGGTAATCTCTGTGGAGAGAAAGAAAAACTGGAATCAGATCCCTGCTTTCACTAAAGCTCCCATTTTGGACAGCAGCAGTGACAGACACAAATCCTAGTGTGCAGTTCCTACTCCAGACTCTGAACACTGCTGATGCAGAGCCTCAGCATCTCCCACTCCAGGAATGCCCTTATGGACACCCATTTTTATCTGGTGTCTGTGATACTTATCCCAAAATACAGCTGCTTCTGGGAAATCACTTCATCTGCCCTAAAATCCTTCAAAAACTGTGTGGAGGCTGAAATTCTCCCAACAGTTACACACCTGTGAAAACTCAAACCTAACCACTGCTTCCATTTAACGAAACTTTCTGGGAAAGCAGCAATGGGGGTGATTTGAGCACAAACATGATCATTCCAAACTGTTTAGTCTGGCATTGAAAAAGTCAAAAATAACTGAGGATTGAAATCAGAATCCCAGCTCTGCTCTCCTGACATACAAACAATGCTCGAGTATTGGAGCAGGTACCAAATCAGGAACCAAAGAACCATTGTGCATTTCATATTTTAATCTGTCATTTATCAGGGTCATGACATTCCCTAGAGCAGTGTGAGATCATTCCTGTGGGCAAGGAGGAGGAAGATTTGCTTAACTGTGAATGAAATCCATTTGCAGATTTTCTTGAGGCATCATTTTCATTGCCAGTGAGGGGGAAAAGATCCTGTGATATTCCTGCAAAGCAGAGACACTTTTACCTCACAACAGAGCAAAGCTTCTCAGCCTTCTCCAGCTTAGAGATGTAACCAGGTATGTGGAGTCAACAACTGAAACTTGGGGGGGTTTTATTATGAAATTTAGAGATTTATGATGAATATTTGAAAAGTGTAAAATTATAGCTGTCAGGATTTCCTTAACAAGTTTCCAAGAAGGGAGTTTTAAGCTTCAGTCTCAGAAGTTTGCTTCTTCCCTCAAATCTGACAAGACCAGCTGAAGACAGGGCAGACCAAATGCCAGGGCAGGGTAATTTGAGGGTATTTTGCCCAAAGGGTTCTGCAGCCAAAGGCTCTACATGGCCAAGGCAGCTCAGGGAGCAGGAGGGAGTGAACCCCCACCCTCTGCACTGCCCAGGCACAGAAATCAGGAATAAACACTGAGCATTCTGACCTGGGCTTCAAGGATGGCCAGAGGAGCAGCAGCACTGCTGAAGATTCCCTTCTGGGGCTGGGCAAGGGCTCTGCTGTAGGATCATCAGGGCACAGCCACTGAGGGAAAATCCTGGCTTTGCAGAGGTCCAGGGACAGTGCTGGGGTTCCAACCAGCCTGAACTGAACCAGCCACCCCTGAGGGTCTGACTCAGAATCCTGGATTATCCTCGGTGGGAAGAGACCACCAGGATCATCCAGCCCAGCTCCTGGCCCTGCACAGACCCCAGCAACCCCAGCCTGGGCTTCCCTGGAGCAGTGTCCAAACCCTGCTGGAGCTCTGGCTGTGCCCATTCCCTGGGGAGCCCCAGGCCAGCTCCAGAGGCAGCAGGTCTTTTATGGGAGCTCAGCTGTTTTGTGGGATCACCCCTCACCACCAACAGCACTCACACAGTTAAGCAGAATATTTTCTGCCATCAGTGCAACTGATCCAGTCCCCCAGGAAATCATTCCAGGCAAGGTTTCTTGCCTAATATGCCATAAAAGCTGTTCCTAATCTGTCACTTACAACACCACAGTGTGGGGAAAAGGGGGGCAGAATCACTGCTAATGATTTATTTTCCCAAATGGAGACTTAAAACAATTAAGCCTTTCAAAAAGATTTTTGTAACAACAGATTAAGAGTGGGTTAAGAGACAAATCTGCAGGTGATGCACGTGAGTTTCTTTTTCCCCCTGAGGCAGAATCCATTGCCAGGTTCACTGGTGTGAAGCTGAACTAAAATAATGATAAATAAGTTAGGCCAAAGTTCACTGAAAGGCTTAAGCTTACCATGCAAGCTTCTCTGGCTTGATGAACTGAGGGGTCTTTTTCTAGGACTGCCTTATAATCTTCCAGAGCTTCATCTAATTTTTCTGTTTTTTCGTAGAGTTCTGCTCTCCTCAGCAAAGCTCTGATATAATGAGGGTCTAATTCCACAGCTGCAAAACAAAAGCAAAGCCCAGGATTGTACTTAAAACATTTCTCCATCTCTCAAATGAATTCTCAAGTGTGTATTACATTTGTAAGTTGTCCTTAGAATGTAACTCAGGATCAAGCAGAGGCACAGCTTAAAGCTAAGCTGGAATTCAGAAGCAGCTGCCTGGGACAGTCTCATGATCATATTTCATTTAATGTCCACAGTCTCTCACAGATGGAAGTGATTTATGATTACAAAGCTTTAAACGTGCAACCCTATCCATGCAGGGATTCTAAGTGATGCTCCAGAAACTTTAAGGACCTGCAAGATATTTCAGTTTTTGTGTTTAGCAAGTGGCTATTATTAGATTGCAGCTAAAGTTAAACATCCCTGCAGACACACACAGCAGGGAAAATCAGCCTTGCCACGCTTATCTCAGTTCAAGTGGAGACAAACTCCAGGAGAATTTCTGGAGCTCTTTTGAATTTAATATCAAACAGTTCAGATTGTGCTGGGAATGCACAAACAGTGATTTCAGCCCTGTGAGCTGGCAGAGGGGCATCCTGACTGAATCTCAGCTTTTCCTCCCCTCATTCCCTTGGCAGCCAGGGCTCTTTGCAGTGGCAGTTCAAATTGAATGCTAAACTCAGCAGTAACCTCCACATGGTGATTCCTCGAGAATTCCTTTATCCATTTTTCACCACAGAAACAGGGAATGTGAAAGATTTCACCACAGAAATAGGGACTGTGAGGGATTTATCATCACAGAAAGAGGTCTGTCCATTTTATAATTCCCAGCTCATTAAAATGGTTCTGGGGACAATTAAATCTCAGATTATCCAGGTAAATACTCCCGTTTATCTTCTGGCAAGGACAAAGGCAATGGCACAGTCAGCAAGCTGCAGGTGACTGAATTGCTCTGCTGTGCTCCAGTCCCTGGGGAGTGTCAGGCCCTGGCAGTTGAAGTCTCCCTGCTTAAAGCATATTGATTCCCTCTGAGCCACTGCAGAATTCGAGGTGTTTTTCAGAAAGCAGCAGCACCAAAACCAGGCAAGGCCCCAGTGAGAGAGGCCAGGGAGGATTTGGTCCCTCCAGGAGCCCTTTCAGCAAGCACAGTTCCCATTTCTGAGCAGGCAGTGCTGGCACACAGCCACTGGATTAGTTCTCTGATTGGTAATTTGGATTTTTTCCCCAGCTGTCACAGGGAGTTTAACAAACACTCGAGGGTGGGTGAGTGGGTGGAAGCAATAAAGCAAAGCACAGCTGAACTGATTCCACCAGAAGGTGCAGGGACAGAACTGTGCAGGGCAGGAACAGCAGAACATAAGCCCTGGTGACAAAGCAAAAGCTGTGCAGGAAAGGGACTTGATAATGCTGTTAACTCTATAAAGCCTCAGAGCTCTCTGGAACCTGGGATTAAACCAGGATTTGGGGGGGATGGCAGGTGGAAGTGGGTTTGAAAGCACAGGTGTGGGAAACAGTTTCCACAGAAAATACTTTCCTCTTAAAAACAAGTACAAACTGCAGCCTTATGGTACAAAAGAATAGAAAGTAAATTACTGCAAATAGGAAAGGTTTGACAGACATTTTACAAAATAAGTAATACAAATCAGGTGTTTTCTGTTCAATTCTTTAAAGACCCTTATGCCCAAAATTACAGCTCTGCAGTAAAGGCACTAAATGACACAATTTACATACAAAAATCTGGCACAAGAGCAGCACAGAGAGGAAAAACTACCTTTGGTGCAGTCACTCAGGGCAGCCTCTGTCTTGTCCTAGAACACAAAACAGTTTTGTTACATTGAAGTCATATTTCTTCATGTCCCCAGCCCTGGAGGTGTCCAAGGAAGGGCTGGAGGTGGCACTCGCTGCTCTGGGCTGGGGACAAGGTGGGGATGAGGCACAGCCTGGTCCTGGAGGGCTCTGATCACTTCAAATTGCATTTGTGCCAGCCTCAGTCCAGTGTGACACAGAATGAAACCAACACTCACCTGTTTCATCTTGGCAGCAGCTCTGTTTGAGAACAGAACAGCCCTGTCCTTCTGGAAGCAGGCTGGGCAGATCTGCAGAGCCTTGGTGTAGGAGTCTTCTGCCTCTCCATAGTCTGCAGAGCAACAGGGAAAAGCCAAACCAAAGCATTCATTTCCAATAACTGACCCCGTGGCTGAGGCTCCTTTGGAAACAGCTCTCAGGATCTGGTGATGTGACACCAGAATCAGCAGCTGCTCTCAAAGAACATTACTGAGTACATAAATACAATCAATTATTTTAAGATTTACTTGATTTTGCTAATAAAAGCAGGACTATACTCCTGAGCTGAATGCAACAAGTGCAGCAGGATGTGGATGTAAAAATCCCTGACATTGCTTCCTCTCTGAGCAGAGGTGGAATCCCTTTGGATGAAGTGCTGAAGGCTGTCACTGCACTGCTCAGAGCAGCTGCAGGGAGCTTTTATGGCCACATCACTTCATCTCTGAAAGATCAGAGGGCTTGGCAAGAAGAGGCCAGCAACACTCCAGGCCTGTGGCTCTCCTGGGCTGAGCACTTCCCTCCTGCCCTCTCTGGTGCCTTCCAGAGCTGGAGATCATCCCCAGGACTTGTTCCCTTAGGACTCCATGAGGCTCTCCAGCCTCTGCCTGCTCCTCAGGGCACACAGATCCCTGCCTGTGTCCTGCTGACTGAGGGAAGCAGGAACCTGTAATTCCTGCTTTCTCTGGGAATCCTCTACCCACAGCAGACTCCGTCAAAGGCAGGTGTCAAAAAATTCCTCCCTTCTGTTTGTTCATTAAAGTCCATGTATAAAGGTACAAGACAGTACAGAGCCCCAAATCTTGCAACAATTCTAAGCACAACCATCAGCCCAACTCAGAGCCTCAGGGAAGCATTTTTTGATCAGTAAAAGAAACCCTGGCTCTTGAAAAGCAGTCCCAAATCCATGGTTTTGTAAGTAAACACTCAGCTTTCATGGGAATCCTGCTTCAGTATCCAAATCTTTGGGATTTAAACAACTCAAAAGGAGGTCTTGTATCTCTGTCTCTCCTCTAAAGCTGGATGAAAAATGCAAGAGGTGATAAAATTCAACAAGGACAGTGTGAGGTCTTCCTCAGAGCTTCCTGCAGCACCACCACCATGGCTCAGTACTAATGGGAGATTCTCTGACATCCACAGGGTGTTCAGAGATGACCAACCCACCTCCTTTCTTGAAGTGCTCATTTCCTTTCTCCTTCAGCCCCGTGCTCTCCTTTCTTCTCTTCTACAAAAGGAAAGACAATGTCTCAGAGTATTTCACTGAAATGAGCAACTAGGTCAGCTGCAGCTCCAAATGAAGTATGGAAGGGGATCAGAATAAAACATAACCTGGAGAGTTTTAACTCTGCCAAGATCTGCTTGTAGACCCTGTGGCATGAAATACTTTATATATCCATGAAACACTGCAGTGTAACAGCAAGGCAATTAAAAAGCTCCACTCCACAGCCACCAGGATGCAGGGAGAGCATCCATGGAGAATTCTATGCTTTAAACCAACACATCAGCTTTTAGCTGGCTGTTTGCTTCTCCTTTCCAACTCCATTTAATTCACTCACTGCAGGTCAACTGTGCAGAATATATTTTAAATGTAAAGTCTCGCAAGTTTTGCTTGAAATAATTCCACCTCAGCAATTCCAGTTATTTTCAGAGATGCACAAGGAAAAGATCCAGGCTGAGGAAGATTTCTGCCCTGAAAGATTTCTTAGGGGGAGTAAGTGAACCCCCAGAAGCAGGTTCTTTGTGCAGTGAGAACTGAGCAGAGCTGTTTTCTCAACCATGAACATCCTGGCACAAGGGGAGGCCAGGCTCAGGCTCAGCCTGTGACACAGAAAACTCAGGATGTCACCGAGCCATCCCTTCCACCTCCTGACACTGCAGACACTCCTGAAACAAAGCAGGGAAGGGCAGGAACATCACAGAGCTCAGGAGTGCTACAAAAACCATCCCTGGAGCACTGGTTTTTCTCCCAGCACACAAAGGACTTCAATGGAGGTGTCTGTAAATGACAGATCAGAGCAATTAAAAAGCCAACAGTAGGAAAAGGAGCAGTTTCCTTTCCTGCAGATTGTGTGAATCAAGGATTAATGCAATTATCAATATCACACAGAACATCTCCTTGGAAACAGCTAAATATAGTACAGAGTGTGGAGCACTGCAGCAGCTCCCAGCTATGCCAAGGAGCTGACAAACAGCTCAAAATCCCAGGTTCTCCCTCCTGCTTTGATGGCTTTGGGAATTGATTCACCTGACCATCGGCAGCACCTGACCATTGATCGACCTCAGTGGAAGGACACTGAGTCATGACACGAAATTCCACAGCAGAATCTCATCTGACCCCTTTGATACATCAAATTTGTTCCCACTTCCCATTAAATAGCTTTTCAATAGCAATTACTGCTGACATTTTAAAGAAACCCCACAAAACACAGGGCACATAAACCATGCCCAATTATTCAGGAAGTGCCTTTGCTCAGGGGGGGCTGACAAACCCCCCCAAGCCCTTCCACAACCCCCCAAGGGACACACTTGGTGCTTTCCAAACATGAACATACAAATTCCACACTTCAGGCTGCATGAAAATCCCAAATTCTCTGTGTAATGCAGAACCCTGCTGCTCAGCACAGGGAATGTGGAACTGCTACACCTCAATTTCCCAGGGAGCAGACAGAAATTCCTGCCTGGACCCCACAAAAAGGCATTTTTAAATATTCTGCAGTGCACAAAGGGTGACAATGATCCCAACCTCTCATGGCACAGAACAAAGCAGCCCCATCTCAGCACAGGGCAGGCCTGAGACAGGGATCCTGCTGGAAAGATCTCCACAGATGTCCTCAGTGAGGGAAGGGCTGCCTGAAACACAAATCCCACTGCCTTCATTGCTCATGACCTATTTAGAAGTGGCCTTTCAGTGCCATGAGCACTCTCTGCTGCACAGGGTTCAGTTACAGCTCCACAAGAATGAAAGGATTTTTATTATCAACACAACCACAGCATGCTCACAGCAGCCCTGAGGCAGAAACCCTGGAACCAAGGGATGCTGGATGAAAAGTTTCACCTGCACTATCAATATTTTGTTTCATTTTATCAAAATTATTTTAAAAATATTACACATTTACCCTAATTATGCATTAAATGCTGATACAAAAAGTGTTTTGCAGCAAGAAAGCTTCAGAAGAATAAGCTTTATATTAAAAAAGGAGTAAAAGGAGAAACAACAAAGCAACAAAGCAGCACTTTTAAGAGCTCTGTGTATGATTTTGTAATTTATTCAGCTCCCTGCCAAGCAGCAATGGTTCAAAACTTGCATTTCTGTGATAGCCTAACTAACATTTTCAACATATCCCTGGCTTATGAGTTTTACTTCCAAACTGAGTGTCCAAAGTATTTTTAAAAAAGTGAAATCTGTAGGGAACCTCCTGCACATGGATGGATTTGCATTTCAGGTATCACTGACCAAGAAGCAACATCTCCAAGCCAATTCCTCTGCCTTTTCCACAAGATGCAAGAGCATGAAAAATGGATGAGCCCCTCACATGCTAAAGGCACTGCCCTGCAAAGCAGGCTGGCTGTGAAATAAATGCATTATTTATTCCTCCATCCAGACATTCCTGGAACAGAAATTCCTAACACAGGACTACTGTTAGGATTTCCGTTTCAGCTGCACTGCTGTGGGGCAGTGGGAGAACCTCTTCAAACCCAGGGGAAACCCCAAAGCACTGCAGCCCTGCCCTGGTGAATCCCCAGCAGCAGGATTTGCACTGTCCCTCCAGTGTCACCCCAAACTGGTCCAGGCCAGCAGCCCGGGAGCTGCCCTCCCTCCCTGGCAGGGAATGAGGTCAGGATCCCATGAAAAGCCATCCTGGGCTGCTCCTGCCCCAGGGCTGCTCACACACTGCCCTGCAGGCAGCCACAGCTCCCCAGAGCAGCATTTCTGCTCTTCAGTGGCAGCAAAATCTGAAGGTTTGGGGTTTTTTTTGGCAAATTTTAGTAATGCAAAGATAACAAATTGCATGGCAGGCACTGATTGCGATGTGGCTTAATTTTTTAAAGTTCAGAAGAAATAAGTGAATGTAGCTAGCTGGTGATGATTCTTACAGGATCTGATTGGAAATGCTTAAATTTGGATACTGAATTCCAATCCCATACTCAGGATTTAACCCAAACCTGCCTGGCAAAGCCAGGGCTGCTGGAGATGATTTCAAGTCATGACAAGGGACAGCCTGGCCTCGTGACAATAAAGTACAGACCTAAATCCCACCCAGCCCCTGCACTTCAGCTGCTCTGCCAAAACACTCAGGGTTAACAAGAAAAGCACGGGGTAGAATCAAATTTTATAGGATTTATTTGCAACTATATAATTATAAATAAATTTTATTTGGATATTAAATGTAATTTTTATCATGATAAAAGCATTAGTCTGCCATTAGAGAAGACAACAACCTAGATATTCCCTGTTTCCTTGGGAAGAGAGCAGTGCAACAGAAGTGCTGGAAGTGAAATCCTTGAACAGGCAGTGGGAGCTGAGGGAACAACAGCCTCAGTTTGTGACACTGCCCACAACATTTCCTCTGGCTGTCCCTGTGCTGTGGTTGATCCCTTCATTTCCCTTTGCTGGGAACTGTTCCTGGCTCCAGTTCTACTCCCAGTGACCCTGCCCCTCAGTCCCTTGGGAAGGTCACCAAAACCAGGGACATCCAAATTCCTGCTGTTCAGAGCGGGCACAGAAACTGGAATTTTGAACAGATCAGGAATGGATTTTTCAGCCTCCAGTCCCACTTGTCACTCATTAGCACTCATTCAGTCACTCATTAGCAGCTGTCTGCTTCCCCCTGCAGTTTTGGGAAGCTACTGCTCTATCCTGCATCCCAGGCTTTGATTTCAGTTTAAGGTTGGAGTCACCCCCAAACCTCCTTTTTCATATCTTGGCATCACCCAAAGCTGCACTTGGGAGGTTCCAGGGACTGTCCCTGCTCCCTGGGATTCCGTGGAAAAGATCTTTCCTCTTTCTATACCAAATGACCAAATTCCATGAAGTGGAAGCAGCACTGGCAGACAGAGGGAAGGAGGTCAGAGCCCTCCCTGACAGCTCAGCGAAGCCCAGCCTGAGTGACAGGAGTGCCATTCATCCCTGGTGCTCCACAGGAGCAGCCTCAGGCAGCGACAGGAGCTGCCCACAAATCCATCAGCACGAGGGAAAGGCCTGGATGTGACAGCAGCAGTCTCTGCCACAGAAATGCACAACTGAACACACCACCCAAATCACACAGCAGCACTCAAAGGGACGTGAAGGGAGAATTTTCCCTCTTCCTATTAAATTGTCACTCAGCAGAAGAGTTTTGTTTGTTCAAAACTCAAAGAATTATAAATCACACAAGGAGATTCTAATTCCAGCTTTTATTCAAATTCTTCTCACCAGCTCTTGCAATTAATGACTCCAGCAGATACAGATTTACTGCTCAAATGTTCTTCTCCAAGTTTTAACTAAGAACATGTGACAGGATGTTTTATTCTATACAGAAGCTTCCCCTTATGGAAAACAATGGGATCAACCAAAGGCACAGGGAAGAAAGGGTGAGGAGGGGGGCAGCTTAAAGGAAATGTCTTCACTAAGCCAATGTTCTCTAACATATCCTAGAGCCTGCAGAAAACAGGGGGGTTAAAAAAGGAAATTTTACTGTTTAGCCCAGCAAGAATCTCAGGCATCACTCAAAAATCCTATTTCTTAAATTGAGCTCTACCACATTCTTACAAAGCTGCTCACAAGACACTCCTCAAGAATCTCCTCTTGCTTGTCTTGTGACACATTTCCTGCTGTCAGAACAGGAATTGTGGTTCCAGCCAGCTGCAGGCACAGGGCACATGGAGAGGCCAGAGAAGGAACTGCTCAGGAGGAATATTGGGTATTTATTGCAGTGTCTCACAGGACACAGGGTTCCATATCCAAAATTAGAGGCCAGGTGCTGAAGTCCTTGCCACAGGACAGGACAGCATCTGCCACGCTGGAGGAGCTGAGGCACTGGGAGTGGATAAACTCCTCACTGAAGGGTGTCCCTCAGAGCACGGCTAGGCAGGCTGAACAATGACCCTGCAGCAGCTGCTGGGTGTCCTCACATTAATTCTGCAGAGCAGCCCCACGTCAAAGCCATCACTGGCACTGACAAGCAGCCAGAAAAATCTGCTTGGAATGAATGCATCAAAAGCAATTTGCTGCTCAGTGCCTCTGCTGAGGCAGCAGCAGCCTTGTGAAACAGCAACCAAACCCTGCAAAGGTGAATTTCAATCCTTAAAAAGCTCAGAGGTGCAAGCCCAGGCAAGGAACCAGGCTCTGGTTTTGAGAACACTTCTTACAGCTTTGTGTCTTAATATCCCTGCAAGTTCTTATTTTGCTTCTTTGTGCAGAGACGATTTCTTAGGGTATCCCTGCTGTCTCCCTGGAAGGAATTCCTGCTGTTTAACATTAAAAACCTCCCTGTATGGGACTCTTGAAATGTGATTAGAGAAAACACACAATCCTTCCCTGGCTCCCTCCCTCTGAGCTCTCAGCAGCCTCTGCAAAGGTGAGTGTTTTACTCTGAGCTGCTGGAATCTGAAACACCCAGAGCCTGGCCCAGGCCTGGCCTTTGCATCTCCAGAATAAATGAGAGGCTTTTCCTACAGCCTGGAGAACATCACTCCACAGAGCCTGCTTATTCCAGCTGCTGAACACAGCAGTGGCTTTTGGTAACAAAAACCCCAACCTAAGGAGGTGGAGCTCCATAAATCTGACTGGAGCAGGGCTCACATCCAGCTCTCCTTGTGCCCTGAGCCCACAGTTTATGTCTGCTGCTGCAGCACCAGTCCCTGGGGAGTTTGTGTGATTTAGACAAGCAGCCAAATCAAATCCATCTCCCCAGGTGCCAGCACCAGGCTGCTGTTTGATGTCTGCTTTAACCAGCACTACCCTGGATCTAAAATCCCAGCTTGATTTCCCTGTGAACCCCCACCCTCAGTGCTCCACTCCCCTGAGGTGTGCCAGCACAGGCCCACAAGGACCCAGCCAGGACTGCTGAGAGCCTGCTCCCCACCTCAGCAGCCAAAAAACACTTCTGAGTGTTTCTGTCCCATTTGCTGCAGCTGCAAGAAAAAATAAAGAAAAAAAACACATCGCCCTTCTCAAAAAAAAAAAAACCAACCCAAAAAACGAACCCTTTTGAGTCACTGGAAAAAGGCTTAAAAGGTTTTAAAAGTTCTGAGTAAATGAATGTACAGCACTGTTTTCAGACTGGGACTGCAGGACTTTTCCTTAAGAGCTGCAGGATTTAACAGAATCTTTTATAATCAGAATATACAGAATGTTTCACTGTGAATAATAAATTAATGGCCATCAGTAGCAAGTACAAGGAGTAGAGTTGGAGCAGCAATTGAGGAGTGACCTGTCCAGGGGGAGATCATGGAAGGGGCCACTCCAGGGGCTGTCACAGCTGTCTGAGCTCCCGGTTCTGCTCTGCATTCAGAGTTCTGCAGCTCTGCTTGTATCAGATACCAGCAATACTTTGCTAGGGAAAAAAACTACATTTGAAAACCTGCAAAATTCAGAAACCTCTCTGTGGAACGTAAAAGAACTGCTGATGCACTACTCGTGGTGCTGGTGAGAGACAGAATCCCTCCGTTTGGGTAGCTGAAATCACAAACCACTCTGAAGGGCAGAATTGCTCAACACCACTGGAAATAAACCTGCAGAAAGATGAGAGCTGCAGCTGCCTCCAGCTTTTCTCTGAGGAAACCTTCCCACTTTGAAGCAGTTGCTGTTTTGCACTCCCATAGCCCCTTTCAGTGGAGTTCCACAAAGCTGAGTGCCAAGATCCAACATTCCCAATTATTTTGGTCATTTGACAGCAGGCAAAGATCCATGTGCAAAATGAGATGATTATCTAAAAATACACCAAACCAAGAGCAGCAGGAAAATGAACACAGCCAATTGCCAGGCTTGCTGCTCTTTTCAGAGTTCAGTTCCAGAGCAATTTCCCCCCAGTTTTCAGCAGTTTTTCTCTGAAGCTCTCAAGTCCCAGGCTGGTGCAGCAGCCCCAGTGTGACTCATGATGACAGTGCTCCTCATTGGACAGGAATAAACACAAGGAGAAAAAAAGGACTGTTCACTCAGACTGGAAAAAACCCAAGGGCAATCAAATGATTTTTGTGTGTGAGGTCAAGGAAGGATTTTGCCCTCTGCTCAGCACCTGAGAGATGCATTTGGAGAATGCACTGTTTTGGGCAAAAACCCCCAAATCAAACAAACTCCTTCCCACACCAGCAACAACAAGACTGACTTCCCAGAGGGAGTCCAGGATGCTCAGGGCTCTGCAGTAAAGGAAATTCTAATTTAACAGAAGTTTCCAGGATAATTAAACAGCAGCACAGGGAGCCAGAGGGGCTGTGCCAGAGATCCCCCTGGCCCTGGGCAGGGGCTTGCACTAAAATCCTCCCAAGGATGCACCAGGACACTTCCTGACATTGCCAGCCCCTGTTCTTCACTATTGAATCACAACTGGCAGCATCATTCTGCCCACTTAGAGCCCAAACTGAGACACAGAGATCCAAAGGGATTCTCACCAGCTCCAGCAGAGACCAGAAGTACTTTTAGTGTCACTCCTACTCCAAGGAGACTCTACCTCATGTTGTCCTACCCCAGTATTGCTTTTCCACTTCAAGGAACTTCTATATTCACACAAAGATTGGTTCTACAGGTGAAAAACTGCATTTGTCTCTTCCGTGCTGCAGGAGGAGTTTGTCCAATGTGACAGCAGTGAAAGCAAACAATCCCACACATTTAACGTGCTTGTGTTTGATTAAAGCCCAAATAATCCACAGGGCTCTATTTAAATTGAATCCCAACTCTCTGGATTCCCACAAGCAACATTTCAGGGAAACCATCCTGAAATCTGCTGAGTTTTGGAGAAGCACCTTGCAGGCACTCAGGGGAAAGCAAAGGATGCACAGACAGGGACAGGGAGGGTTTTGTGGCTGGAATCTCTGAGTCACAGCCACCTCACCCACTGCTCAAGGCACACAGAATCTGCCCTGGAATGCGAGGAGAAAGAGCAGCAAGGAAAGAGGGAATTTAGAACAGTAAAACCAGACACTCAAGGGCTTTAGAGGTGCCTCTGTGTCAGCCCCAGACCTCCCCAAACACTGACTGCACACAGATCACTGCACACAGATCATCTCACACCAGCACTGTGCTCTGCATTACCTGTTTCTCCTCCTCTGGCATATCTTTCTCTAGTTCTAGCAAGTATTCTTCATCTAGCTCTGTCTGCTTCCTGCAGCTACTCCCATCATCCTGAACGCTCCCTTCAGCATCCAGCTCAGCTCCTTTGGCCTCAAAGGAGTCGTGGCAGTCATGGAAACACTCATCTGTGGGATCCTGGCTCTGCGGCTGCTGGGCATCTCCGGGGCCAGGCTCTGGAGCCTTCTGATCTGACAGCTTCAGGTGATTCAGTGACTCCTCAGGTGGGCTTGCATCTTTAAATTCTTCCATGCTGGACTCCTGGGAGGGGGTTGTGGAGATGAGAAAGGAGTGACACTCAATAATCAGCATTAATAGACTCATCAGCAAACAAATCCCAGCACCCTGGGGGGGTGAGGCTGGAGGGGAGCACAGTGAGGCCACCTCCTGCATTCCCAAGTACAGGAGTGTGTCCAGGGAGCTCTGAACAGCCCTGGGAGGAGACCCCAGCCCCTCTCTGGGCTCTGCTCTAGGCAGGGCAGCTGCTGGGCTCAGGAGCAGAGCCGGGCCCTGCTCTGCCCCCTCCCCTTGCATGTTTATACACATCTACATGTGCTTAATGATCTACTTTCTCTTATCCACATTTAAAAATCCTTAAAGTGCTCCAAAGTGCCCTTGACATCCCTAAGGGAAATTCAGATGTCAGATCCCTAAGGGATCCCTAGGGAATCTCGGATCTCAGATCCCTAAGGGAAGCTCGGATCTCTCGGGGTTCCACGTGCCGTGCAGAGGCACGGGGCCGGGACACTGCGCCCGTGAGCACGGGACCTGCCGGGCTCAGCTCCCGGGGCCAGCCCGGCACAGCCCCGCGGGCCCGGCCCACGTCCCGCTCCAGGTACGGCTCGCCCGGCGCGGCCCCTCCAGCCCCACCACGACTCCCGGGGCGCCGTGCCCGGCTCGCAGGCCGGCCCGCGCCGCCCGGAGCGGAGGGGCCAGGGCAGATCGGGGCCATCGCCCCCGGCTCTCCCCGGGCCCGGCCCGGATCCCCGCGCCCCGGGCCCGCACTCACCTGCGCCAGCTGCACTTCCGGCTTCCGCCACGCCCCCGGCGCGAGAGTGCCGCTTCCGGCAGCGGCAGCCAATGAGCCAGGGGGCGTGCGCGGGGCATGCCGGGGACTGTAGTTCTCTTCGTGTGAGGGCAGGGAGCGCAGGTGAGAACAGGTGAAGGAAGGCAGAGGAGGGCAGCTGAGAACAGGCAAGACTGGGTGAGGCTAGGTGAGGCTAGGTGAGGCAGATGCCTCATCCTGCCCGTGGCCTCTTTCCCCCCAGGGCCACGCTGGTATAAATCCTCTCTCTCCATGTCTCCTGCAGCTCCTTCAGGCACTGTGAGGCCACGCTGAGGGCGCCCCAAAGGCTCTCCTGCCCAGGTGAGCGCTCCCAGCGGTGCCAGCCCTTCCTGCCAGCAGAGCTGCTGCATCCCCTGCTCAGCCCGGCAGGTGCGCTCACACCTGAGGGGCACGATCCCAAACCCTTCCTGCTGCCCATGCTGGGGGATCAGCCCAGGGTCTGGGGGTTCCTATTCCCGTGTCCAGCTCTCCCTCTCCACCTGTGCATCCCCAGCCTGCGCTGATCCAGGAATTTCCCTGATCCAGGTGCAGCCCCGGCTCTTGGCCGTGTCCAACCCCATGGACCTGCTTCTCCCTCATGAATACTTCATGTTCATACAGCCCATGAATATTCGGGTTTTCCCCTGGAACTTTGGCATGACGCTCCTCTTGCTCAGCCTCACACCCCAACTCTGGTTTCATACAACATTAAAGTGTTGAGATATTCCAAATCTGAGCCCAAAAGGAGGCTTGACCTGTGCCAGGGGGATGGAACACAGATCATTGTGGATGCAAACAGTCACAGACTTGAGCGGTTTTGCACTTGACTTGTTCTCTAGAAATTCCTAAATCCTTCTGCCTGCAGCAGAAGACTCAACACCATGCCCGTGAGCCAGGTGACAATTCGAGTTGATTAGACCCAGCCATCTGGAAAGCACCCTCCCATTATTTATTACAATTATTGACCGCAGGATATCCAACTGCCCCCGCTGCCCTAGGCTGGATTAGTGTCGTGTAAAACCCAGGGAATCCAGCGGATCGGGGGATTTGTGCCTCTCCCCGCCACAGAAACCCCATAGGTGGCGATGTTGGATTTTCCGAGCCAGGTCCCCGCTCCTTTCCGTGCCAAACTGGTCCCGTTTGGTGCCAGCAGGGCTGGAGCTCCCCGTGTCCAGCAGAACAGGGCTGGACTCTCAGCCGCCCAGGAGAGGGGACAAATGTTGCACAACTACCTCAGGCTCCGGGCCACACGTTACATTTACTTCTCTGGACAGCTTTTTTTGATCTTCGCAGTGAAGAAACCAAAGCTCAACAAATCAAGCAAAGGGAAAAATAATTGCTGTTTTCTGGAGGTCATGGAAAGTTCAGGTTCTTCACCAGAATTAAACATTTGCACACAACTCTCAGTGGAATCAAATGATTGTGCTTCCCAAAGAACGTTTTGAAAGGAAATGGTGAAATAGGCAATTAAAGGCTTTTTAATCACAGCTATAAATTAAAGTTTTACTACATCCGCTTTTTAGGCTGACTTATTAGAGAAACAGTGATGGATTATTATTAATTTTGAATATCCATTCTCTTTTTCTCTATGTCTTGGCTGGAGTGCTGTAAAGATTATGGGAACTGCTAGACAGGGAGCATGTTCTTCACAGCTCAATGTGTTGTTTTGTTGTAAAAGATTCCCAGTAACAACCCCAGATTGCCTTTCCCTGTCTCCTTCCACTTGTGTGGCAGTGGAATTTTGGCTACTCTGGGAAAAAGCCAGGTCATAGATTACAACTGAATAAAAATGAAATGTAATTTTCTGCTTTAAGCTGGCAGGAGAGCAGAGGGGTGCAGGGGGAGCTGTCTCTGTCACAGTGACATAAATTGGCATCACAGCCTTGTTTTCTCCCCAGGGACACTTGCTTTATCCCCTCAGTTTAGTTCCAACCCAAGCAGACAAACCTGTTGTCCTGGGATCATTAAACCTGATGGTGGAGCTGCAACTTTTCAGTCCCCAAAAAATCAGAGTGGGTGCAAACATTCCAGGCTTCCACCGACATGAACCCAGCGTGGTGTGTGCTGTCAGCTGTGAGGTGTTTCCTTCTGCCTCCCCAGGTGCAGGTGGTGTTTGTGTGATGCTCCAGCCCCGAGCTCCGTGTCCTGCCCCCCGGAATGTGGGAGCCAGAGAGCAGCTGGGAGAAGGTGAGCAACTCTCCTGTGGAGTGAGTCAAGACAGAATCCAGAGCGTTCCCAGGGGGATGAGCTGGTCAGTGTGTGGGATAAGGAACACCGGGTGTGAGCACACCAATAATTCCATCCCATAGCTGCTGTGGTTATCTCCTGTGCAAACCAATTTCCTCTTCATTTTTCTGAGGTGAAAGTCAAGCACACAAATCCAGAGCACAGAGCTCAGCTGCTGAATAGAAAGTTATTATTTTGACATTTTCCAGACTGGAACTGTACTTTGTAATACCAATGTCCTCTCCTCTCCACACCACATTTGTAAAGATAATGGGAAGCTGCATTTCCAAAGAGCAAAGCATGCAGGGTGCTCTCCAGCTCCAGCCTCATTCAGCTGGATTTGTTTTAGCATAACTCTTCTCACAAATAAGCAGCACATTGAAAGCTGAGTGCACTGAAGCCTAATGGGTTTAATTTCTGTACAGCAGAGCTGTGACAAAGCTCCCCGAGCCATTCCAGCTGTGCCTCTCCACTGAGTGGCTCTGGAACAGCCCCTCCTTAGGGATGAAGCTACACATGGCAGCTTAACCTGGGGAAATTCAGTGTTTTATGAACACCTTTGGTGCTAAATTGCAGCGATTCATTTAGAGAGGCGAATCTGTTTGCCCACAGAATGGATTCATCAGAAAGTCTGTGAATGAACATAAAAAAGATACCGCTACGTGCCGCTGCCACTGCAAGTTCTGCTTGGCAAATTCATTTTGGCTGTAATAAAAAATGGGTTTGTCCCACATGATTGTGCCCTGGCCCAAATAGCTTTTCCTTTAAAGGAAAACATTGCATCAGAAGAAGGACTAACATAAGGAAGAGGGTGATTTGTACAGCCTCCTATGTCTGGCTTTGCCTGGTGGAGGTTGTAAAAGATTCCAGTGGGAAAAATGAACATATTCAGAAGAGATCTCATCTGGACAAGTCAGGTGGCCTTGCTAAAGTTCCATATTTTAAAGTGGCATTTCAGACTTTGTCCTCTGTAATCTTTGTAGTCCTTCCTTCAGATCCATGTGTTTTTCCCCAATTTTCAAACTGACAAAGAGATCCTGGTGTTGGAACTCCTGTAACTAATTCTTGATGGAAGAATTATGTGTGTTGGTGATGAGGGAAGCAACGGTGTCCCACGAGCCACAATGGCAAATTCAGTGGCCATGAGTATTTTATTTTGTAGTGAGAATCCTGAGGAGGAATCGTGGCTGAATTCCAGCCCTACAATAACAGGAGCAAGTATTTCAATTGTTGAGAAATTACTTTAATCATTGTTTTCCATCTCTAAAGTGCGAGTGTACAGCGATGTATGGAACAATCGGGAATTATGGGCAGAGCCAGGGACAACCTGGAGAGGAATGACCTTGGTGCATTCCTCATTGCTCCATCCACCCATCCATCCATCCATCCATCCATCCATCCATCCATCCATCCATCCATCCATCATCCATCATCCATCCATCCATCCATCCATCATCCATCCATCCATCCATCCATCCATCCATCCATCCATCCATCCATCCATCCATTCTTCCATCCATCATCCATCCATCCATCATCCATCCATCCATCCATCCATCATCCATCCATCCATCCATCCATCATCCATCCATCCATCATCCATCATCCATCATCCATCCATCCATCCATCCATCCATCCATCCATCCATCCATCCATCATCCATCCATCCATCATCCATCATCCATCCATCCATCCATCCATCCATCCATCCATCATCCATCCATCATCCATCCATCATCCATCATCCATCCATCATCCATCCATCCATCCATCCATCCATCCATCCATCCATCCATCCATCCATCATCCATCCATCCATCCATCCATCCATCCATCCATCCATCCATCCATCATCCATCCATCATCCATCCATCCATCCATCCATCATCCATCCATCCATCCATCCATCCATCCATCCATCCATCCATCCATCCATCCATCCATCCCTCATCCATCTATCCATCCATTCTTCCATCCATCATCCATCCCTCATCCATCCATCATCCATCCATCCATCCATCATCCATCCATCCCTCCATCACCCCCCACCCATCCATCCCTGGCACAGCTGGGCACCCCCACCCCTGCACACCCCATGCCACCCTGTGTCCCTGCAGGTGTGTGTGTCTGTCCAGCTCTCCCAGGACACCTGCGGGGTCCCGTGTGCCCCTCGCAGGCCATGTGCAGGACCCTCCCTGCCCTCTGCTCCCTTCCCGAGCTCTCCAGAGGACCCGCTCCGTGCCTTCCCGCGGGGCTGGCGCGATGCAGGGCGGTGTCCGGCGGGCACGGAGCGCTCGGAGCCGCCCGTTCCAGCGGGGCTCGCCCTGCGGGCAGCGCCGCCGCTCAGGGCGTGCCCGGGGGCTCATGCCCCGAGCCCTGCGGGCCGTGCCCGTTGCGCTCGGGCAGGAGCTGGAAGGTGAAGAGCTGGCAGTGGCCCTGCTGCTCCTCCCGGGCCGGGCTGAGCAGGGAGCTGCAGTTCCTGCACTCGTGCAGCGTGCACAGCTCCAGCTGCGGCTGGCTGATCCTGCTCACGTAGCCGGGGCTGGGCGATGCCGAGGATAAAGTCCTCTGGCTGCCGCTCAGGAAGCTGCCGCTGTCTTCCAGGGAATCCCTCCGGGCGTGTTCCAGGGAGCAGCGGTTCCAGTTTCTGTAGCTGTAGGGCCACCAGCCCAGCTGCTTGCGCCGGTGGCACTGGCATCTCAGGATCTGGATGAAAGCCCTCTTGAACTCCTTGCTGGAGCAGGGGTAGATGATGGGATTCAAGCAGCTGTTGAAGTAGCCAAGCCAAAAAATCACCTTGAAGATCGTTTCAGGGGGCTTCAGAGCCGAAAACAGGGATCCTGTCCACGGAAAACAAGCAGAGAATATCTGAGATAAGGGATTTGTCTGCCTTTAGGAAGGGAACATGTTCATCAGATTACTGTTACAATCTGTGCCTTAAAAGCATGTTGCTTTCAGTGTTGGTCTTCTGGTACTAAAATGTTATTTTTAAAGCTAATAAGGAAATGTTTCCCACCCGAAAGCTGAAGGAGCACATTATTGATGAAGGATTAAAAAATAAGAAGCAGTCATTTTGTTTCTAGGCCCACACCTGCTGCAGGAACATCTCCTGATCCCAGGGACAGACCAAATCTCCCTTGTTCAGGCTGTTGCACGAGGCACACGAGGAGTAAGGCTGTGCCTTCCTCAAAGAGCTTTCAAAGGCCATTTTTAAAGAAAAGTGTTCCCAGGCCCCTCAAAAAGAGCATTTTCAGAGACACCTTAAAACTTCTAATACATCCTCTGGCAGCTCCTGAATGCCCCTCCATTTACCCAGATTACTGTGAGAGTATGAACCTCCCGAAACCTGAAGTTAATTGGGGAACTTCCCACATCTCAGGCATTCACAAAAATGGTGTGACCCAAACCAAGAGGTCATTCTGCGAATACTTCTCCTTCCCTTCACAACCAAACAATTTCCCTAAGGAGGCTGCCCAAATGAAAAACTCACACTGGGGAATCCACTCCCTGTGCTTTCAGTGGTAATTGATCAGCTAAATTTAGCAAATGGGGCTGGAGAAAAGAATGTATGAGATTTTTATGGCAAGCAGAGCTGGATCTGTTATCCATCTGGGAAAACACCTCTGTGACCAAGGAGTGGGGGTCCAACTCTGTGACCAAGGAGAGAATTCCCCTGTCAAGAACTGGAGTTAGGTTTGCAGAGTGTTTCAAATGGAAGCTGCCAGTCCAGCCTGGCTGGGAAGGAACCTTTTCCTCTGGAGTGGTTTCGGATTTGCTGGGCTGTGAAAGCAGCTGAGTCAGTGGTGGCTGTCAGGAGGGGCGGGATGTGATTCTGGGAACTGTTCCCATCTCACAGCAATGCAGAGGTCGTGCCTGGGGCCTCAAAACTATGCAAGAGCACTTCCTCTGCTCCTGGGTAACAGCTCTGGGGTGCCAGCACAGCCAGCACAGCATGTGTGGGGCCAGGGCTGGGCTGCACGCCCTGCACGGAGGGTCCTGTGCAGCCAGATCCCAGATTTCATCCTGGCAGAGTTTGGGAATGGTGCCAGAGCAAGGCTGCACTCTCTGCATGAAGGGTCCTAGGGCTCCAGATCCCAGATTTCATCCTGGCAGAGTTTGGGAATGGTGCCAGGGCTGGCTCTGCCCTGGAGCTGAGGAACTCAGGGTTAAATGGAGAGTTTAAAGGGATTTCCTCACAACTCTGCACTTTAGGGTTTTACAGGACTCCTGTAGGGTGAACCACTGTCCCTCAGGGCCGTGCTGCTGGCAATGATCTGTAGGGTTTGGCCAGAGCCTTTTCTGTGCAGCTGCTGCAGATCCTGCAGGTCCTGCAGGTCCTGCCTCTGTCCTGATGGATGCTGCAGGAATTACAGAGCACAACGTGTCAAACATCAGAGAAACCATTAAATGCATTTGAAAAATTTCCAGCACACATAAATCAGTGCAGCTCCCAAAATTGTGCCTCCTGAATGTGTCAGGTGAAGGATTCAGTGACAATTCCTGGGATTCCATGGAATGAGCCATTGCATTCTTATAAAGCTTCAGGAAAAGCTGATCTAAATTTATAACTGCAGTCAAATGGGGAGGATGCTACTGAATCTTCCCCATGCTCAGCTGCAAAACCTATGCAGGGTTTATTTTGTAAGTGATAATTGGTAATATTTCCTTTCAGTTTAGAGAAAAGAGAACTTCTGTGGCTTTACAAAACAGCTACAAAGCACCATAATGTACAAGGAACATTTTGGAACTCACAGTGATAAATTTCTTAAATTGTTTTCTGGAATTCCTTTAAAATAGAAATAATTTTTAGCTCTGAGAGGGCAGCAAACCTCATGAAGTGGCTCAGGAGTCTCTATTTTTTTTCTCGGGTGTAAATTTGAATCCACAGAGGTGCCTTGAAAGGTCTGCCTTTGTCTGATACTGTAACAGCTGAAAATCTGTAAGACATTCCTCTACCAAATTTAAATATTTTTAGTCAGATATGGACAGAGAAAATGATATAAATAAAATAAATAAATAAATAAGGAATTTTACAGACCAGATAAAATGAGTGGAAGTCTAGAGATGAAAACTGGGAACCAATGCAGATAAATGAGCCATGCTTCCTTAATCTATATCACACAAGAATTTACTCCTGAATTTCTCAGTTTTAAAACCTTTCTATTATTGTAGCTAAATGCTGATCTTTAATTTTATTTATTTATTTTAATTAACTACAATACCTTTCATTTAGTTGCATTAACCTATCAGGAGCAAACAAGTGTGGGCTGTTTTGATGCCTTGATAAGATGCTAAAGCAAAGCCTGCTGAACACACTTGAACACCAGACTGATATTTCTTGCTCCAATCTCCAATCACTTCCCCACTGCAGCCTGATAAGGAGATTAAATATTACCCTGTGTTGATTTAAATTGCTCTTTAAAATGCCTGGAAAATTGCATGTGGCTCTCTCCTCGGTGATTTATTCCTGGCAGGGTGGCCAGAGGGATTTCCCTGCTCCAAGTGATTGCTCTTCTGGTGTTCCACGTGTAACAGCCTCACTCCGAGGGATGTGGGTTTTCTGCTCACTTTTATTTCTTGGCACTAACCCTGTGATTTATTAATCACAGCACCACAATCTCCCTCTTACTGCACCACTGACACCAACAAGATTTTGCAAAGCACAGGTGGAGTACAGGAAATATTTCAGAAAATTAGGTGGATCAGTTTGGAGGGATCAGTTTTTTGCCCACAGTCCCCAGGCTTGCTGGAGCTGTTGAGCTTGGAGATACACTGAGCAAGAGCAAGTATCATAAAAAGGAATGAAGTATTTTATTTAGGAAGAACTAATTTCATTTAGGTTCTGACTGGCTCTTTATAATGAATGCTTTATTGCAGAGAAAGTCAGTCAAGTCTCCTCAATGAAATTAGGGAACACTGTGGGAAACAATTTGCCATATTAATTCTCCTCACATATTCTGCAGAATATGGAGGCAGAGCACCACTGAGACATTAAAATTCAGAGTCCACTGGAGTCAGGGAAGTCCTTGAAACCCTTTGAAAAGGCTCATAAGGACTTCAGTGGACCTGGGAAGAGTCCTTAAAATATCAGGGTGGGATGGCTTAATTGTTGTACTCTTAATTAAGGAAAACCCTTCACTGAAGGAGGTTTTAATTAAACATTCATTTTTAATACATTGTGGGTTGATATCAATTAAGTATAATAAATTACTCATAGAATGATCAGTTCTGCTCTGAATTTGATACTTAGATTAGATAATAATTAGGGAGGAGTACTGTGAATTCCCTGGAGTTCAGGACAAGTCACTAGGGATGAATTTGGGGCTGTCAGGTGCTGTTTTCTGTGCCTTACAAAGGAATTACATTTCAAAATCTTTTAAATCCACTTTTGCTGAGATGAAAACACCTGGAGGGAGTGTGTTGAGTTCCTTTACAGTTTCCTGGAACAAATTCAACATCTGGATTTATTGCAATACAGTGGTGCAACAGAGTCGTGTAAGGGCTTTGCTGTGTGCTACTGGATATTCCAGCTAGGAAACTGGAGATCCTGCATATCTTTGCCATTGTTTGAAGGTTAAAGAGCCACAAAACATTAAACTCCTTCTCTCTGTTGATAACAGGTTGAAAATGAGTTTTTCCTTGTTTGCACACCATAACATAGAAAGAGAGAATTGGTAATTAGTGATTGGGTAAAGGTACCCTCAGAAGGCAATCCAAGGGCCAGTCTTCTTTCAGAGATTCCATTTTGGTGCAGATTGGAGCCATTCTGACTGGAGTTAAATCTGAGCTTTTCAAGAGAAAATTCCAAGGTTTTAAAAATTGCTCTGGTGAGGGAAAGCGCTGCAAAACACCAAATGGTAACAGCTGAGCCCTGAGCCAGGGAACACAGGAAACTTCATCAGCATCAACCCCCATCTCCATCTGTCCCCCAGAAGTCAGCTTGTGCAGAAATGAGCTTTGCTGTCAAGGAATCTGCTTTTTGATGGAGCTTTTCCCTGGGAAAAGTGATTGATCAGACCTGTGCTGTGACCAGCACAAGACTTTCCAGGCTGGGAAGCTCCCTGTTCCTGCTGGGATTCCTGCAGGAGCCACAGCTCCTGGAAGCTGCTGGTGGCTGAGTTACATCCACTGTGTGCACAGCCAGCACAATCCTCCCTGCAGGAGCAATAATCTGCCCCTGAGCAGAGTTGTTGTGAGTTTAGAATGTGCTGAAAGGATGTGGTTGCCTTTTGTTTAAGCTTCCTGCAGCCCTTCACACCATGGGCTCAGCCAAGCCAGCGTGCCAAGGTTTTAGAGCTAATTGGATTTCTAAAGCTCCTGATTTCTTCCCTTCCAGCATCCAGTGTTTGTTTACATTCCCCTGGACTTATTTAATATAGGAAAGAAACCCAAACAGTAGATATTTACAAACACTAGATGATGAAGTGGAGAGGATGGTTATAAAACTAAGGGTTGGTCAAGCTGGGAGGCTGCTGGAGAAGAGGATTAGGATAACAGGGAAAACAGCTAGTAAGCAGTGAAAAATGATCTTGAGAAACAAGGAGAGCATCCAAAATAAGCAGAATCGAATTCAAAAAGGAAAATGAAAGGAAAAACTGAATAAATTATAAGCAACAATGGGTAGCATGCAAATCTGATGGGGTTCCAAGTCCAGCAGCTGTCATTCCCAGAGTAGTGATAGGTACATCATGAATATCCTGGAATCATGGAATTTTTTGGTTTAAAGGGACCTTAAAGCTCATCGAGTTCCACCCCCTGCTGTGGACAGGGACACCTTCCATCATCCCAGCTTGCTGAGAGCTCCAAAGTGGCCTGGTTGTGAGGAATTTATGTCCTAGGACTGACAACCTGTAGCAGATGCTTCATATTTCAGATGAACAAATCACTGCAATGAGAACAGCATGAACTCCATTCACAACCACTCAAATTTAAGAGCTTTTGAAGGGCTCCAAAATTAGAAACTTATCTGGAGTGGCCAAAATAAAACCAGGACTTCAAGGAGTACAGATAGGCATGAGATCTTTTCCTGAACCTCAGAGCTGCTACACCTCCTTGCATTGCAAGCAGTTGCAAGGCACAGCAGTTACATTTGATTTCTGAAGGGTCGGTGCCTTGGATTTAAACACAGCATTCCTGCCCTGGGCACCACCTCTCAGCCCAGCCCCGCTTTGTGACTTACACCACTGAGAGAACTCACCTGTGTTTAAACTGTGCTGCCCTCAGACAAATAAGATAAACCAAGATCAGTTTTGGTCAGAATCTTGTTCGGTCCCTAAAGCTGGCAGTGCATAGGGACACTAACACGGCATTACTGTTGTTATTATTTACTCCAAAAGAGTTACAGACTGCAGCAGCTCCTGACTAGACAGCACAGAGCCAAGATTACCCTTGTTTTGCAAGGGATTACCTGATTGAGGGAGTCTAGAAAAGCTAATCTGAGTCTGCTGACATTTCATTTATTGTACTTAAATGTCTGCAATTACTGAACATGCTCTGGTGTTTCCTCTCCTCCTTGCTTCTGCCTGACAGCTGAGCCAATCTGTCTTGGCCATGGCTGGTAGGAAATAGCCCCAGCATGGAGCTGAGCAGTGTTACTGAGGTGCTGGATGAATTTCCAGTACAGCTTCTGTCTCTGGTCCCTCAGAGATGGATGGTTCTTGCTTTCCAGTTCCTAGGGCTCACCTGGAAGCCCATCAAAACAGCTCCACACCTTGCAGTGGGTCCTGCAGGATTGCTTTAGTACAGATGTGAAAAACCTCCTTTGGTCCTGGCAGTATTTCACCTGAAGCCCCTGAGGCCCTGAGCTCTGGCCTCAGGTGCTTTAGGAACACCTGGATTTGTGTGCTTTTCCTCAGTGCTGCTCCTGTGCCCTCCAACCTGAGCAGCTCGAGTGTTTGCAAACCCCTCTGGGGTAAGGACCTAATGTCCAACTGCCCTGCTAAAAGCAGCATTTCCTCTGAGACTTCCTTCCCTCCTGCCTTTCATTTCAAGAGTTGGGAGATTTCTTCTCGCTGCCAGTGGCTCAGTCCTGAGTTTTTCCCCTTGGATCTCCCTGACCCAGGAGCTGCTGCCATCCCAGGGGCTGAGGAGCCAGCACTGGGTGATTTCTCTGTGGTTTTCTCTGCATTGCTCCGTGTATTTGTTTCTGTGATACTGACCACTGTAGGATTTCCCTTTGTTCCTCTGACAAACAAATCCAAAGCCTACAGAGGAATTACCCAGGAATTTGTGCAATTTCTCTTACTTTGATAACAACTTTGTCCTAAACCCCAGACATCTGTAAGTGACTGGTAATTGATACCCTTTGCAAAGGAAAGGCTTAAACCAGGGCTTAAGGGAAGCTATTTCAGTAGGAGAATAAATCATCCCAAAATAATCTGGTGCTCCCCACGTGCCAAAACACTCTGTGCTGCTCAGTGAATGCCCTCAGATGTTTGATTGTCCAGTTCCTGCTGTCTCCTGTCAACTGAACTTTGCACCAGGACTGACCTGCCAGATTGCCACATCTCATTAATTTATCTGAATTCTGTAACTATTAACTCGAGGTCATCAATTCCAGCGAGCTGGACTGGTCAGGGAGGGGAAGAGGAGGCAAATGAGGTGAAGATAAGCCAGGCCTAAAGCCCTGCAGAGAGCAGAGCCCAGTGGCACCAGACCTAAAGCCTGGAAGGGTTTCCCATGGAAACCAAGGGGCCTAATTTGGTATTCTCAGAGGCTGGCCTGACGTAACATAAATCCACATTCTCTACTTAAACAGCATTTTATTTTAAGAATAATTTTGTGTTGGCTGACCTGCAACATGCAGAACATTTTATGTTATTTTTTGTTATTTACAGAGAAATTACCAAAGCCTGATCCATAGTGACAGTTCCACCAGGTTCATCTTCATCCTGGGGCTCGTGGGACCTCTCCTATGTCAGTTAAGTTGCAAAGGTTTTATTTTTCTTTGAGGATTTGTGGGAGCAGGCTCTGTATTGGGCAGTGGCTCCTGCTCTGATCTCCACTGGAATGATGCAGCAGGCTGGGGCAGTGCCCTGGTTAAGTGCCTGGTGATTTTTCCCCCTGGGAATGTCTGGGAGAAGACTGAGAAGTCTGCTCTGATATCTCAATTTACAGGAGTGACACTAAACCTCTCCTTATACAATCCTTCATTTTGTATTCACCTTTTAAACAAAGGTATTGACATAAAATTGGTCACTCCATTGTTTAAAGGAGGGAGTTTTAATGAGTGTTATCTTAGTTCTGCAGGGCTCTAGCCTTTAAATAAAAAGAATCTTTTTCACTCATCATTTATCAGCAATGAATATTTAATGTAGTCCTGCTGCCTAAGGAAGAATTTGTATGAAAGGGATGAAAAGAAACATTTATTTTAAAAAAACAAGATATTTACTCCTCAAAGCTGAGTCACTGAATTTATGGGCCAAGAAGTTGTCTCAAAGACACAAATGTCTTTAGTTTATTTTTTATATTGAATCACAAACAATTTTGAGTGGCAGGATGACTGTTTGCACAGGCAGGGAGCTTTTATAAATGTGCAGCCAGGATGTTCTGAAGTTCAATTGCTGCCTGGAAAGAATATCCAATACAGGAATAACCCAAATTTCTCACACAATTCTCTCTGATCCCAGTTCTGCATCCCCAGGTGCTGAAGGCAGCACAGCTCAGTGCCCCAGGCCTGACTGGGGGTAATTCAGTGCTGAGAATTTAATGCTGCTCAGTGCCTCTGGTGTCAAGGCTGGAATTCCAATCTGCCCTGGATTCAGAGATTTCCTTGGGATTTTGGCTTGAAAAAGCTCTGGAAGCATTGATATGATTTCTTTTCATTTTCCCAAGCAATCTGCCTGCTTTCAGCACCACAGCTGTTCCCAGGCATAGCTGCCACCTGATGGAATAACCCTGGGCTGGAATATCAAAGGGGGAGCTGTGGAATACATTGAAATGCCAGACTGCAAAAAGAATAATTTTGCCTGGGAAACTCATGGAATTGCTGAGAATGCCAAGGAAACTCTGCTACATCTAAGTAGATTTGTTCAGACCTGGGGCTGTGGTGCTGCAGAAATAACATTTACCAGCTTGGCAAATGTTTTGTGCTTGGATCCACAGAAATCCAGAGCTGCTTTGCCAATGCCCTCCTGCAGAGTCATGGAATTACTGAGGGGAACAGGGGGCAGAGAAATAGAAACAGAAACAGCGGTGATGCAGATGTGAGGGTGTGATTTGGGTTACTGGGGCAAACAGGAGGTGTGAGAAGGAGAAGCTGAGGAAGAAGCCTGTCCTTGCAGGAAGGGGAGCTCTCTCAGCTGGACAGCCCAGGGACAAGTGGAGAGCTTGGAAAACATCAGCACCTTTTGGATTCTACAGTTTGCCTCTCCCAGGAATTGATTTCATACCACTGGGTGCTTTCTAAAGGGCTTTTAAAAGCATTTCACTGAATTTTGTGTCTTCAAGACACAAAGCAAAAAATTCCTGCTATGAAGAGTGCAGCTCACAGCTCCTTAGGAATTCTTTCCCCTCTGCTGCAGTTGAGAGCAGCTGCATTGTGCATGTCAGGAAAGGGACTTTTCCCACCTGTCCTAGTGAGCAATGCTTGAATCATGCCTGACATCCTCAATTGGCTCTGCACTGATACATAGAGATAAAAATACAGGGCTTGGACAGGACTGCATCATAAATTTAAAAAGAAAAATCAGGGACAAGGGATAAACCAGGCTATTCCTAGTCAGCAAAGCAAAGGGAAAATACTCCCAGTGGAAATGTATTTGGATCCTGGGTGCTGTGGATCCCTCTGTCCCCCTTTTTCAGCTAGAGGGTTTCTGACAGAAACAGGATTCCAGCAGTTTTCTGGCACTGCCAAGAGCTCACCCCTGCAGCTCTTCCTGCCCTCGGCTCTGGGTGCCAGTGCCCCCAAACTGGGGGTGTTGGGGTGACAACCTGGGCTGGGCTGGGCTGGGGTCCCCAGCTCTGGTTTGTCCCCAGCTCTGGCTTTGTCTCCAGCTCTGGTTTGTCCCCAGCTCTGGCTTTGTCTCCAGCACTGCTTTATCCCCCAGCTCTGGCTTGTCCCCCAGTTCTGGGTTTGTCCCCAGCACTGGTTTGGTCCCCAGAACTGGTTTGTCCCCAGCACTGGTTTGGTCCCCAGAACTGGTTGGTCCCCAGCTCTTGTTGGTCCCCAGCACTGAGTTTGTCCCCCAGTTCTGCTTTGTCCCTAGCTCTGAGTTTGTCCCCAGCTCTGGTTTGTCCCCAGCACTGGTTTGTCCCCAGCACTGGTTTGTCCCCAGCCCTGGTGCTGTGCTGGAGGCTCCAGCCTGTCACCCACTGGCTGCCTTGGCACAGTTTACACAGGAGATAAAATCGTATCCTGGCAAGCAATCAGTTCTCCCTCAGATGGTTTAACAGCCTCTCACTAAAGCTCCCAGAGAGCCCAGGAGATTTGAAACAACTCCTCAAAGGGAAAGCTGACACTTTTATGGGAGCTGGTTGGTGTGTCCCTTTGTTCCTGCCGTGTTTTTGCTGGGCTGCTCCACACCTGAGCTGGGTGAGGAGTGTCAGTCCTGGCTCCAGCCACCCACACACATGATCTGCTGTCTTCACAGCTGCTTTTTTTCCTTCAGTAATTCAAAATCAAGGAGGGCATCTGCTTTATCAGGGGATCATGACCTACTGTTACAAATCTCAAACTGCTACATATGGTGGAAATACTTTTCTATCCACAGCTGGGTATTTTTGCTTGTTTTATGTTATTAACTTCCTTTAGGAGCCAGCACAAGGACTTAACTTCAGTAGTCAAAGAGAACTTTACTCACGGTTTTCCTTCTGTTTTTTACATCCTTAATGTGACCTTTATGCAAGTCTTGAGTCATAAAGATTTTAAAATTCAGTATAATAAGCTAGAGATGACAAAGTTGCCCTGCAGTAGCTGAAGCAGTAAAGATTCTTAATAATAGACAAAAATTATAGCTTTATAATACTCCACCAGGACCAGGCTGCTGAAGTCAGTTTAGTTTTCTACAACAATCTCTAAAAATATTCGCTTACCACTCAATCAGAAATGTTTTGGTTCGGTAACTAAGTAAACACAAATACAGAACATTAATAAAGGCTTTTTCTCCCCTTTCTTTATCCACCTCTTTCTATAATTAGGCTGCCAGATTGTCTCAGAGAAATTAATTTTGGACAGATATTTCTGAGAGCTCAGTAATTGAATATCTTGAGATACTCCCCTTCAGAGGTAGTGCTAATATTAAAAACAATACAAGAACATTTCACAGCTTTGGGGACGCTGAGTAATGTGTTAAGGCTATGTCAATGCTTGAACAATGTTTTGAAGTTGAAAGTGAACAAAGTGGCTGCCGAGAGCTCCCATGGCAGTGTCCAAAACGCCTGGATGAAGAGCTGCTGATACCAACGAGCTCCTTCCTTGGGATCTGTGGGATCTCCTTTGCTTTTGGGATTTGATCAGTAATGTTTGAACTCACAACTAGAACTTTTCAGCTTCCCGAAACTCAGGGGAGTTTTGCCCCTCACAATTAACTGATTTCATTTCCAGTTAGGGCACCTTAAAATGTCAAAATCCTACTGTGTTATATCCCAAACCTGGGGCACTGACCTGAACCCCCAACATTGCAGTACTGCAGCTCTCTTATCTCATCTAGGATTTGGGGTAAAGCGTTTTGGTAATGTTCTGATGCCTACTTCAATACAACAAAGGGGATTTAAGATATGAACCCTGGAGATATTGTCCCCTGTGGTGACACGGGCCCTGAGGACTGCAGGTGAGCAGCTTCGTGCAGCTGCACAGTTCCCAAAGTTCCAGCGTGACTCTTTGCACATCAGGAGTTCCCTTCTTTTCATTCCCTTCCTTTCACCTGCTCACTGCAGCTCTCCCAACAGTATCTCCTCCTCATCCATCTGATTCCTTTCCAAGACATTTCTGTGGGACCCAACAGACCCACCCCAACCTCTGCCCTCACATCCCCAACTCACCCAGCGGCAGGACAATGAAGAAGGGGAGCCAGCACAGGATAAACATGCCAACCACAATTCCCAACGTCTTGGCTGCCTTCTTTTCTCTGGAGAATTTTAAAAGTTTGAAAGCTAAGGAGTTCCTGGGGTTGTGACCCTTGGATTTGGTGTTGTTCAAGGAGTCCTCGTGAACGTGCTTGTAGTGAATCCGTAAGGTCAGCTCCTTGGAGTTGGACATTTCCTTCATCACCCCAGCTTCCAGGTTCCTGGTAGTCCTTTTGGCCACGATGTAGACCCGGCAGTACATGACTAGGATGACGATTAAAGGGATGTAAAAGGAGCCCAGGGAGGAGAAGAGGGCATAGAAGGGCTCCTCGGTGATCCGGCACTCCCTGTCGTCCTGTGGGGCCGGCTCCTTCCAGCCCAGCAGAGGCCCGATGGAGATCACCATGGACAGGACCCAGACACCCAGCAGAGCTAAAATCGCCCTTCTCCTGGTGACCAGCGTGGGGTACTGCAGGGAGTACCGCACCCCGATATATCTGTCGATGGAAATCGCACACAGGCTCAAAATAGAGGCTGTGCAGCACAGCACATCCACGGCTGCCCAGATGTCACAGAATATCCTCCCCAAAACCCAGTAGCCAAGCACTTCCAGCGTGGCAGAGAACGGCAGGACGGTGAAACTCAGCAGCAGGTCTGCTATGGCCAGGTTAATGATGAAATAGTTCGTAGGGATTCTTAAATGTCTGTTGCAGGCCACTGAGAGAATTACCAGGATATTACCTATGATAGCAAAGAGAATAAAGGCACCGAGGATCAGCCCCACAACGATCGCCCTGCTGGTGGCCAAGGCAGGTGAATCCAGGTCGCTTCCTGTCTCGTTGGAGTTGTTTGCAGAAAAATTGCCATAATTTAGTGCAGAGCCTTTGAAATATCCCGGTATTGATGTATTGGATGTATCACCAAGGTAGGTATTCATCTTAAAATTCATCCTCCATAGCAAGCTGGGGTCGCGTCCCTCGGCGAGTCAGCTCAAAGTCATCTCTGAAGCGGCGAAGTGGCTGCAGAGCCGCGGGCAGTGCGGGCAGGAGAATTCACGGTCCCGGGGAGCCGCAGCCCCGGCACGGAGCGCCCGCCCGGCCCGGGCAGCCCGGGGCAGCCCGAACCGCCCGCACCGGGCTGCTCCGCGCCCCGGCACTGCCCATCGGAGCCGCTGCCCGCGGCAGAGCAGCAGAGCAGCAGCACAGCAGCAGCAGAGCAGCAATCCTGCCCGGAGCCGGGGGAGCTGCGCTGCTGCCGTGCCTGACACGGGGCGGGCTCTGCGCTGGCCCCGGAGCGACCGCGCCGGAGGCGGAGGGACGAGGGACAGAGAGACAGGGACGGGGACAGAGGGACAGAGGGACAGGGACAGAGGGACAGAGGGACAGGGACAGAAGGACAGAGAGACAGGGACAGGGACAGAGGGACAGAGGGACAGAGGGACAGGGGGACAGAGAGACAGAGGGACAGGGACAGAGGGACAGAGGGACAGGGACAGAAGGACAGAGAGACAGGGACAGAGGGACAGAGGGACAGGGGGACAGAGAGACAGAGGGACAGGGACAGAGGGACAGAGGGACAGGGACAGAGGGACAGAGGGACAGAGGGACAGGGGAAGACAGCGGGGCCAGTGGCGGAGCGGGGCCGGTGCGGTGACCCCGCGGTGGCTTTGCAGGCACTGGCGGTGGCTGGGCTGTGACAGTGCGGGGACAGTGCGGTGGCGGTGGCGGTGGCGGTGCGGGGACAGTGCGGTGATGCCAGTGGCTGTTGGGGACTGTGCGGTGGCGGTGCAGGCACTGCGTGACAGTGCCCTGTCAGTGCGGGGACAGTGAGGGGACAGCCGTGGGGACAGCAGGGGACAGCACTGGGGACAGCACTAGACGGCAACGCCGGCCGGGTGACACCGGGGGAACACCGCGATCTTAACTCGGCGTTGGCCACAGGACCCTGCAGTGCACACCTGTAAAAAACAGCTGCATTATCTGAGAAAGAATATCCTTGGTGGGATGTGGTGAAAAAAACATTTCGGGAGAAAATTCATTTCAGGACAAAATGATCTGTTACCCTTTTGCCCGTTAAGGAAATATATTGGAGTTTATTTTGTGAGTCACATATCATTTTAGAGAGCTAATCATCTCCTAAGGACAAATAGCTTGGTTCCAAAAATCCCTGGGTTATTTGTACTGTTCATTATTCAGTATTGGTATTCAATATTCAGCGATGGCATAAAGTTTGTTTCTAATTAAGAATCTGATAATAAAATAAAACTGTAACAGATCAGCAAAATCTTGATGCTGTTCTGTACTCTGTACTGGGCACATCTGTGGCTTCATCTCCTCTTTTCCACCTCTGTAACTTTCCCAGGCAGAGTTTATTGTGAGCCTCAGCCCTGAGCAGAGCTGAGCACCTGCACCCACAGCCCAAGGGAAGGCAGAGACAAGGATTTACTTTAGGAAATATTTTACCTTTAGTCTTCTGATGTTGAAGTATCTTCCTGAGTCTTTGCTCGGGGCTCTGAGGTCACTGATGTTGTTAACTCATCGCAGCTCTGGGAAGAGTCATCCTTTTACAGTAGCCTATAAAGCAAAATATAAGTAATGATTTATTCTGTAGATAATAGCCTTTAATGTCGAAAGTGGTTTCTTGGTTTCTTCGTCTTGTGACTCTTTGGGGAGAAATCTCAGATCTTTAGAACTCAGTGCCATGAAAAACAACAAGTGAGAGATTTGCTGAATATAAAACTGCCAAAATCCTGTTCTCAACTTTCTCTCATTAGATTACGTCTCCCAGCTGTTGACTGCTGTACTCTGGGTTACTCTGTATTGATTTTCCTGTTACAAAATGTACTGTGTTTAAAATAAAAACTTCATATTTAATAAGGCAGCTATGGCTGAGAGTTGCAGCTGACTGCTGGGTTTGAGGACAAACCTGGTAAAAAAAAAGTTGAATTTTAGTCAGGGAGCGCATGGCAGATGTTGGTGTGGCCCTTCCCAGCAGCAGAGCTGTGGCAAAGCTTTGTTGTTTAGAAACTCCCCTTTAAATGCTCACAAGAATGACAGGATAATGCCACGCAGTCAGTGAAGGGAAGAGGAACAAACACGGGATGTATGAGCTTCACCTCAGCTTTTCTGCCCTGCCCTGCCCACGGCAGAGGTCTCAGTGCTGCAAAGGCAGCAGCTGGCACTTGGGGCATCATCCTTACATGTCCAGCTCCTCTGCGCTCCACTCTCAGCTCTGTCTGTGATTTCTGACCGTGTTTCTGTGCCTGCTCTGTGAATTCCTCTGGCTGGGGGCTCTGTCCTGGGGCCGCAGCTCTGCCCTGGTACCACCCCGTGCAGTCCTGGTGGCACAGAAGGCACCGAGTCCCTGCGTCCCCCCTCTCCTGGGGGCTGAGCTGCACCCATTAAAAATAGTTTGCTTAGACCATTAGGTCAGACATGACCCTGTTACAACCTTTGGCACGCAAGAAAACTTGATCAGTGCAGAATGTGAGAGGCTGGATAAGAAAAGCTCCGTGAGGGTGTGAACTGCCCCGCTCCGGTTTTCAGCTGGCACCGTGTGGGACATGCCCGGCCTGCCAAGGGGGACAGAGTGGCCTGGAACTGCTGCCTGGCTTTGGGCACACTCCAACCAGACTTTGTAGTCCCAAGGAACCAGATCTTTGAGCAGCCTTTCAGCAGCCACTGCCAGGAGTCAGCTGGCTCCAGGACACGGTGCCCACAGCAGAGGAGAGGGCAGAGGGGAGGGAACGGATCCTGACTGCTCATGGCTGGACTCAAACATCTGCTCAGTACTGGGACCTGTCTGATTCCCTTCCTGGGGCTGCTTTCTATGCCCTTCTGGAGGAAAGAGCAGACAGAAAAATCCCATTCCAGGAGCCAAAGGAGGACAAAGCTGTGGCTCATCTCGCACAGCCCCTGCAGGAGTCAGGTGTGTTCTCACAGCCCTGCAGCAGGCATAAAAAACAAACCCTGGATAATCATGAGCCTGAGCTGGTGAATGTTCGCTGATAGTTCTGAGATCTTCAGTAGCAGGTGCTGTAAGAGAACCAAATGTGTTGAAACTCAGACACCAGCATTAACTCGTTACCTGCCTGGGGGGAGGGATGGAATAGGCACTGTGAGAAAAGGAGACTTTTTCTGCCACAGCTTTAAGGTGGCACTTGGAGCCAGTCAAAGACACCTGCTCAGAGAAGTGCAGATAGGATCCACGGCTGAGTTCCTTTCATCCAGATGAATCACAGCGTTCAATGAAAAAGTGAATTTAATAACCCAAAGATTCTAGTCAATTATACTTCAATAATGCTCCCAGAGTAATTTTTCAATGATTCTTTCCTTGAAAGAGGAGCCCTTTAGTGTGGCTCAGCTTTGTAAGGGGCTGTGTTCCTTTCCCTCCTTTGCAAAGGTTTAAACACGTGCTGGCATTTGGATCTGATGCTGAGACACAGCAGAGACACTCCCAGAGCACTTTTGCAACGCTGCTCCTAATTGGGCATGGGGGATGAGCTGATCCTGGAGTTAAATGGGAATATCTCCATATAGTTTTATATAATCCCTCTTGAGCCTTTCCATCTCACTGCTCTGCTCTTTTCTCTGATATTAAAGCATTACCAAGAAGTGGAGTGAGGAGCTGAGCTTGGGGAAGGTTTTTGGTGTGACTGTGGGTGGGTATTTAGATTCCTGTGATGAAGAATTGTATCTGCAGCTCTGAGAATTTGTCAGTGTTTGGCTCTAGATTGTGTTCAAAACAGAGCTTCTCTGTAGGGAGGTCCTTAAAACTATATTGATAAAAAGATTAAATTTGTCTGCTTTTGATAGAAATGACAGTGTTAGCTACCGAGCTGCACTTAATTACTGCTTGTTTTATTAATTACAGTGGGTAATGTTGGTACTGCACCTTTGCAGGGTGGGTACAAGGCTCCTTCATCAAGTCTTTCTTCTGGAAATCACAAAAAATCACACAGTGTCATCCACGAAATGTATTTCCTTCATCTCCATTCTTTCTGATGGGTAGAACTTTGTCCTTCATGGAAAACATCTTTGTCTTAGGCAGAATTATAAAACTTCCCACAGACATTGGAAATACACTGGATTATGGTTTCCTTACCTTTTGTGATTAACAAGGAACACATTTCCTTGGCACACACAAACCCTGAAACACAGAAAAGGGAATTTCCATGATGAGAACAGAAAAAAATACTTTTAAAATGCTAATTTGCAGTTGTCCGGTGGTGATATTTAGAGGCTTGTGGGTTTATTTTCAGAGTAAGGCAAATATCTCTGAGTTTTGTATTAACAGCCAAGGTTATTAGCTGGAACTTACCAAAACAGGATTGCACACACTTGCAATTTGGAATAATCTTTTTTTCTGTAGTTATTCAGTGCTTGTCATTTTAATGTAAATAGGATTTCAAGAGCAATTTTTGGGTAGAATTAACTAAAATACAATTATTTTCATGCTGTCACTGGCTCTTAAATCCCCTCCCAGGCTTAGGTTTTGCAGGCCCATTGCCCACACTAAACCAAGTTTTTTCCTCACTGTGCATTCCTGTCAGAACTGTGCTGGAGACTCCCAACATTTATCAGCAATTTCCCAGTTATGGATGGAGGACTTATCTCAGAGGCTTTGTGAGGGCGATGCCAGCAATGGACTCTGCATTTGGGTGGGGTGGGGTGGGAAAATCAGGGTTTGGGAAAAGTGAGTCCCTGCCTCAAGGAGAGAGGGAAGAGCAGGAGCAGGGCAGGTCCTGCCTGTCCCAGGCACCTCCTGCCAAAGGAGGTGCAAATCCCTCCCAAAGCTCTGCCTCGCTGCCCTGAGGAAAGAGGATTTCTGCCTGATCCCACCTGGAGAGGATCCAAACCCAGGGAACTCCCTGACTCTGCACTTTTCAGAGTTTTAATCCAAATTTCAGGAAATTTAAGGGAACCAGGAGAGGGAAAACAACTGAATTCTGGTGGAGAGGCTGGAGGGGACACCGGGGTCTTTCCTTTGCTCCTTATTTCAGCTGTTTCAGAACTTGCCTCTTTGGGATAGAATTATAATGGAATAAACTTGAGGTTTTAATCTCTCCGTTCTAGATCTGAGAAATTCAAATCAATAGAGATTACCCAATCTTTTTTTTTAAAGGCTGGGTATATTTATTTTCATTAAATAACTTAAACTTCTTTGAAAATATTTAACCTGAGATTAAAAGGGCAGGAATTAAATGCTGGGAAAAGAAAACCATTTTAAACACAGCACAAAGCTCCTGTTACTCACTGGCATGAACCAACATTGTGCCAAGGGCTGAGCAAGATTAAGAGCAGCTCAGAGGTTTTTGTGGCTCATGAAACAAGTCCTGATAAAGTGGCTGAGGTGACCACAGTGTTGTAAATCTCCACACCTCAGGAAATAAACTTGGAGGTGAATTCAGGCTGGATAAAGCTCCTCACATGCTGTTACAAGTAATTAATCTCATTTCTGTGCCTCCTTCTCAGTAATTTCTTCACTCTAAGGATGAGGTACCCGGCCCAGAGGAATATTTGTAATACAACAGAAATGTGGCTGGGAAAGGGATTTTTCAAAGATATCTGGGCTGAGTGGGAATTTTGCTGTTTTGAGAGTTTCCACCTTCATCTTTAAGTGCCCCAAGATCTCAGAAACTTCTGGAAACTCCTCCTGATCTGTGCACCAGGATTATTTCTGTATCAGTGACAGCCCCCACTTTGTTTTTACACACCCAGGTGGTTTATTCTTCCTGTAAGAGGTGAAAGCTCTTTGGTGCCCGAAGTCCTGGGACTTTTAAAATTCAACTTTCATTTTCCAGGCTGGACATTTGCATGAAAGATCAATATTTCCTTAAAAAAAACCAAAACCCAACATAACCTTATTTTCCACCTCTCTCCACGTCACTGGAGCTCTGATCATGGTGTGCACAGTACTTAATTTTAGCTTTATGACATTTAGAACTTGCAGTTGCAGCATAAATGTCTTATTGCCCATGAGTGGCTGGGCCTCACTGCTGCTGAACACTGAAATTCATCTTCCAGGGGTGATGTACAACCCCATTCTGATGTTTTGCCTTGATGAAAATGCCTGGGAGAGGCAGGAAATGACTTTTATATTTGCAATGATACAGCCCTTAAAATATGGGCCAAGATCTTAGTTCAGTGAGATTGATATCAATCTATCATCCAATTTATCTGTTCCTTTTAATAAATCTGTATTTAGATCTATTTCAGGGTATCTTTATTGGAATTAAGCAGTTTTTCTAACCTTGAAGCATTTTTGACATCTAGTTTTGTTAAAATATGGGTATCTCTGAGGAGAAGGAAGTCTAAACTCCCTGTCTTGCTGCTTCCCTGAGAAGCTGGAAATTTGTATTCCTCCTCCCTAGCTCAATAAAAACCCAGTAAATCCTTTGCTGAACTCATTGCAGCAAAAATATTAATGCTAAAGGGCAGAATTCCTTGGAGAAGGATTGCAAATGGACAGAAAGCTGCTTTTGGTGCAGGGTTGAAAACATCAGGATAATAAAGAAGCAAAGGACAAAGAGGAGCTCTTTGCTCTACAGGAAGGGAATAAAAGGAAGAACTTTTGGGAAAATAAAGCAAAAAGAACCAGGACAGTGACTTCTGTCACATCTTCAAATGTGCCAGTCCTTAAAGCTGTACATCCAACTGGAGAGGGAATTTTGCACAATCCCAAAGTCTGGAACTTGCTGAGAGAAAATGTCTTTTGTGTCTTTTCTTCTAAGGGAATCTGGACCCTCCTGTTAAGGAATGGACCAAAATATTCCCTTTTCTCATTATTAACACTCAGCTCTGAGCCAGGGGTTGAAGTGCTGCTGCTTCTCCTCCCTCACAGCAGAGTTTGAATGCACAAACACCTCATCACACTTTAAATTATGCATTAGTGGTTTCACACTCCTCAGAGCA